TTTTTTTTTTTTTTTTTTTTTTTTTTTTTTTTTTTTTTTTTTTTTTTTTTTTTTTTTTTTTTTTTTTTTTTTTTTTTTTTTTTTTTTTTTTTTTTCCCTCGTTCGTTTATGGCGGTATGTCAATCGTGTTGAAAGAGTCGTACGATTCTAGAAATTTCTATACGAAATCACGTTACCCCATATCTCCATCATTAATTCAATTAAGTAACCCACCTATTGAAGATTTTGCCATGATGGGCTGAATGAGGCATGTCTACTCATGTGTGGTGTGACAGGTGTCGCGTGAAATTCATGTAACATTTCAGATTGAATCAACATTCACTGCTGAGTGTATCTCAAAAGCTACTAGAAATGCTCCTGCGAAGTGTCGAGAATGGCTACCCACCGCTCCTGGGTAGCCGAACTGCAACATAGATTCGCATGCGTGAAAATTTGTCTTATCGGCAACTCCCGATATATGAGGAGAAATTTCAAAGAACAGTTGCATGAGTCTAAGCCGCGACACGCCCGTAGACACGCGAAAGAAATAAAATAGCACCTTATACGGCGGTACACCGTGTCAAAAAGCAGTCGCGCGTTTACGCCATTTTCATCGCGATTCATATCGACGGTCACGCGAGAGGTGAATGCCCTTGCATGTTGCAGGCCACATCCTCTAGTAAAACAAGGATAGAGATCTAGGCTTGGAACTCATGATATTCACAATGTTATGATCTACTAGGGCTGCAAAAGTCCTTGGCCAATCAATTCCTTCTTGGCCTGGGTAACTGTCGTTGACTCTATGTACAATTGGATCGCCAGTTCTGACCGTCTAGGTCTCACTGATCTGTTTCATGAGGCGAAGCCTGTACAACTACACTTTCGATATTGCCTACATGTCTCTCGAATATCATGAACGGCCTGCATCATGCGTATAGCTCTAGGCGAACTGCATATTCAGCTGTACGCGCGTGTAACGTCTAGATAATCTATGCCGCAACGAGAAAGATGGGATCACGTAGGCTCAGAACCATAGAAGAATCGTGACATCTAAATACATCTACTGACAAGAAATAAGTTACAAATCATGTGATAATTATGAGGGTATAGGTAGTCTTTCCACGAGTCGCCGAGAATTAGGTTGGCGTAGGATATCCTTGCTACTCTGAAGGCAATTCTAAAATCTAATCACAAGTCGTCGCGAGGTATAATCGGCCAAGTCTCACAGCAACAATGCTGCAGCCATAACCCCCACACTCAGACCAAACAAAGCCGAATGAGATGGCATGGTCTTAGAAACACCATTATCAGGGTCTCCCGAGCCATCATCCATCGCGTCGGCGGACGCCCTCGAAGGTCCGACGACCTTGAGACACGACAGCGACGCATCCACCTCGGAAACAATGCTCTGCTTCCCCGTTGGGAAGAAGACCGTCAAAATGGGCGTGACGCTGTACAATGCTTTCTGTATTTCATCGATTTTATCGCTTCCCTGTGAGCGAAAAGCCGTGTTAGTCTATATACAGGAAAAGAGCAGAAAATTCAAGCTGCTTACCTGTGTCTGATATTCGCCTGCGAGAGTCAACTGGTTTTCCTTGGGGAGAACCGGCCAGCACGTGGACGAGGAGTTCTTGTCGCCCGATAGTGGCTTATATGCGGCTTCCCCTGAGAGTGCTGCCATTTTCGCAACATCAAGTTAGCACAGGGTTGTTGATTGGGATATCACATGGTGACGACTTACCGGAAACGGAGACGTTGGTCCAGGGTTCCTTCGTAATAGACGCGCAGGCGTCGTCGATGTTTTTCTGTAGATCGTCCTTGAGCTTGGAACATGCCTCTTCACTGGTGGGAGTGTCGCCCTCGAAGTTGTTAAACAGCTTCTTTGCGCGCTCCACGAGAGCATTTACGCAGTCTGGTCCCATTGCATCGGAACACGTCCCTTGCGCAGTCTCTACATTAACATTGACTTTGTCGAAAGAGAGTTCATTCTCAATGCCGTGAAGAAACACGGCGCAGGCACCGGTATCCCCTAGATCGAGGTCAGGTGTTGTGCCGAAGTAGAAGACACTGTCGAATGTCCTTCCGTCCTCGGCGGTGTTAATGACGTTGAAGCCTTTGGTCCAAGATATCTTGCCCTCGAGGTCCTTGTTCTCAGTGGGAATGCGAGTGAGACCGACGTAGCTGAATGACTTGTCGGACACCGTGCAGTTGTCGTCTGCGGGAGCCGCGCTGCTGGCTGGGCATTCTAAGTCGACGCAGCCAACAATGGTTTGCTTAAGGTCTTGAGCGCGCGCGTACGCTGTTGATAGCGCAAGTGCGATTGAGAGAGACTTCATGTCGAATCGATAGAATTGAATTACGGAAGAAGGCCTGGACAGTTCGTGGTGCTAAAGAGAGAAGGTCTGGGGTAAGTTGGTGCAATTCTTGGTATTCGCAAGACGGTAGGGAAATATGAGTTCACTTTTCTAAGTTGCAGCTTGGTTCTTTTTTGTAAGGAGATTTGGGTTGTACCGCGCTACACCTCGTGCCAGTGAACTGGATTTTTCAATTCCTATTATTATTATTATTTGAGGCGCATGTGATAGGACAGATGAGCTGTGCCACAATTAATTACCAACGGCAATAATATGCTTCATCTTGGAATAGGTATCCAACAGTATATATTGTACAACGGCGCAATTGGACGGAGAAGATGTGCCAAGAAACAAATGTTTGCTGTGTACGCCGAGTTTGGTATACAATGGGCTGAATACGAGTAGCTTTGCTACATCAGAATCCCAGTCTTTTGCACATTGATAGTAGGTAAAGGTAGCCGATGCAACATAGAGCGTTTACCTGTTAGGAAGCGCCACAGTTAAATATAGGTTGGACGTAGAGCTAACATCTATTCTGCCTAGGTAGGTGTGACATGCGCCTAACATGCATAACTTCAAATAACACATTCTTACACCGGTTGAACGCTGACATTCACGCCTTTATATTTAGCTAATCCGACGTAGCCTAGAACTTATGAAAAAATGCTAGAAGGCTCTTCGGACCTAGTGAATATGAAACATTTTGGAAATATTTGAAGTCTAGGAATTCAAAGCAACTACTATGTTTCCAACGAAGGCTCGATCTTGGTTCGTAATAATACTAATAAAACAAATGATTTTTGGCGATCTCAGCAGATCATGCTATTGCGAACTGAGTTCATCTCAAGCTATTGCCGGAAGTCCTTGTTATGAAGATAGTGACGGCTTGGTTACACTAGGAAAGTTTTCACCTTTTCCTCTGCCATTCGTCAAGAAGTAATATCAAGAAACAATACATGTGTATGTATAAGTGGAGGACTCGGCTTGAGGATTAGGCACCTTTCTTGAAAACAATATCATAGATATTCTCTACTCTTTGTAGTCGGAAATTTGATATAGAACCGACTATCACTGCTGAAATCCAGCCAAAACACACTGGGATGTCTATGAGCAGCTGTGTTCCGTTACACCTCTAGCTGAAAATAATAGAATCCCCTTGATAGATTCTATTATCACCATGTGTCATGCCTGCCCGGAGAGAATGCCGTCGCTGACGCCGCAAGGAGATGCGGCCATGAATCTTGCATGCTATGTGAAATGTTAATATTATAGCTACGAGTTTCATTTTGCGATAATCAAGTCAAGAAGAAAGGAGCTGGCGGTTACACCAACACAGCCGAAGTGGTGCCGTTGCATTTGTAAAGGATACAACCTCCACGGATATAAGAATCTTCACTTTCACAAGAAACTGCAGCGAGCTTCTTTCCTACGGAGGCGGTTAGGGTCTGGATAGCGATCAGGCAGATAGCATCACAATGGGAACTTTCTGTGCCGTGGCCCGTTGAGGATCTTCTGGGCTTCTGTTGGCTTCATACCAAGAGAGTAGCCTCGGGGCTTGTTGCGGCCTTCAGTCATCGATCAAGTAGTATAAGTAAATATGCTTCTTGCGCGTAGTCTCGGATTAAACTAACCTCAGAGCAACAGCAATCTCTTACCTCTATCTGAATTGTTTCACTGCTTCACTGAAGTGCCACAACCGCCTTTCTGTACTCATTCGTTGAAACCCGGCGCGTTCCAAATTCTGCCCAGTTCCGTCGCAATAACCAACAGAATAACAGCACGACGGTCCATGGCATGATTGCCATGACTCTGGTGATGGGTGACAGCGACACGCTTACGGCTGTCGACTTGTCCGGGAGCGCGATGTCTTATGGTCCGGACTTCGTCAATGTGAAATTGGGCACGTTCTGTCGTTTGTCAAAAAGAACCCCGGCCTATGTGCAGCGGTGCTGGTGTAATCGACAACTGTTTCGACGTCGTGTTGCAGCAACTTATCATCAACAGGCTTGCACCACGAAGTGAACCACGTAAGAAGTTCTTCCACTAGACTTCCAGTCAGTGAAAGGCAATTCTCAGCTGCGCGCTACTAAATTGTACCCTTTCACTTTTAAAAAGATCTAGGGGGCATTCAAATCTCGATTGCTTTGACACACTATTTACTCATTAGATTTCGTTGAACACAATAAGCTTCTTTCTCCTAAACATTGCGTGAGGAAAGTGAGGAAAGGTAGCTAAGCGACAGGGTAGGCTATTGAGAAGTCAGTACAGGCAACATTATATTACCACACTGCAATTCTTTGATCACGGTTTCCCAGATGGACTTGTATACAAGCTTGAATTGGAAACTTGTAGGATTGCGATCATGTCAAGAGCCCCTGAGACTGTCGCACCGCCACAGAAGATATTGTGGCTAAGCTGATAAGATAAGAAACGCTTTGACCGCCCAGTCTCCTGATCATTGTTATTGTACACATTGAGCAGCATCTTGTTTCGGCAGACATGTGATAGAGAAGATGCATACTAGCCGGATGGAAAGTTCTTCAGCTCAAAGGGACCGCCAGTCTCAACCTCTTATCTGCTAAACCAGGATAGTGATTAGCATCTGAGTCAAATGACTGCTGTAAAGTCGGTTCCTGCTTCATCGTCGCATGAATAAAAAAGCGAAAGAGACGTGACTATTTCATAAACATCTTCCACCACGATGACATGAACCTCCATGAAAGACATAGACGGAGAGGAATAGGTACAGATAAGTACATGAATGAATTTTGGGTATTGTGCAAAAGCAACTCGTATACTACACGAGAGGTATCAATGCCGACTCTCACCACCCCCCAACGGGAAAAATAATAGATGAAGACAATGAAAAAACCGCTGATTGCTCCTAGGCGAAAGGGACGCAAGTACTGAGCGCCAATCAATGAATGACAACCTCCATGTAAAATGGGCGGCAAAAGAGCTGTATATGGCGCTCTCAGTAGTGATGCGTGAAGGAAGTGCAAGGCTGACATCCTCGATTCCTCTCCATAGCTTCAAACGGACATGCCGTTTTCCATCACCTTCCTGCCCTTGCCATCATAGGAAGTAACACTAAACGCCTCAAAATCATTCTTGTCACGCAGATCGTCCTCGTTCACATCTAGTCCGGCGAGAACGCCGCGCCCAACTTTCGGCCAAGCGGGTGGAATCGAATCGACTGATGATTCGCGCTCTACCTGGCCCTGAGCCTCGGTAGAGCTCTTTCTCTTCGTGTTCGATTTCGTGCCCGCGTCTGAGGCCTTTGTATCCGGCGTCGAGACTCTGCTGTCAAATTTCACCGGACCACTCGACTTGACATGCTTGGCGGATGACCCCGGCTCCTGGCCGGGGAAGATGGGAAGATCTGGGTGTAATTCTGTGCTGTACATGATGATGTTGACCAATTGAGCATGTGGGATGTCGGTGAGATACTTCCGTCTCTAGCGAAAAGTCAGGGCGCATGAAACTTTATGATGATGCAAGATGTTAAGGAGAGAACGCACCTGGTCTGCACTCTTGGATGCCCAACTAACTCCCTTATACTCATTTAACGTCTTCTTCTTGGCTAATGCCTTCTCCCGTTTCGACATGCAGCGGCCACAAAACCATGATCGAGCCTCGTCACTAACGAAGTCATCGTCGATGTAGGGATCGTGGCACATCTGATGCCAGCAGAAATTGCAGCCGTCGCAGAAGACGATCTGGTTCATAGCCGGACTGAGACCCCTTGTGCATACCTTGCAGAGGGCCTGTTCCGCAGTACGCTTTCCATAGTGTTTCCGCTTCTGGGCATTCGCTGAATCTGCTGGGTTGAATTGCGTTGGTTTTTGCACTTGACGGCCTGACTTAGTCATAGTGGAGGCGATTTGCGCCTTTGCGCCTGTGTCGCTGTTGCTGTCAGATAGCTCTGATAGACTCGATGACGTGTCCAGGCTATCTTTGCCACGCTTGCGCTTCGTTCCTCGTGCCGCCTTCCCCTTTTGCTTCGATAGCAGTGTCTTTTGAGCTGCTGACGACTTAGAGACAGGCTTTGAGATGACAGTCTTGGTGGTCATAGACTTCGCTGTTCCCATGGTGGAAATGGCGGCGGTCGGCGTCCTAGGCTGAAAAGCATTACCTGTAGAAATAGACTGTCCAAGTTTTGGCGTCGGTGTGGGCATGGGCATCGTGAGCGAAGTGTTCATGTTCATGACGAGTCGTCGCTTAGCGTCCTCGAAGGTAGACTTCTCGATGCTCTTTGCTATGGATGACGCCGATGAAAGCGCCGCTGACAAACTGCCAGGTTTGCTGTTGATGCGTGACAAAATCAACTGAGTAGCAGCAGAGAACTGTGGCACATAAGGGCGATGCGCGGCAGAATCTGTTGAGCTCGGCGCGAGACTCGGGGCAGACATGGCTGGTAGGTCTGCTGCTGGAGCTACTAGATCTTTGGCGACCGCATCTCTCCCTTCTACGGCAGATTCCCCTCCAGCACTGCTCGTTATAGTTTCCTCTACCTTATCCTCCATTTTGCGATCGTGGGGGTTGACAAGGGAGATTCTTCGTTGGTGAACAATGACGACGGACTCATTGGTCAAACTGGGGGATTGCAGGCGTGCCTGCACATGTCACCAGAGCAGGAGAGTCAACCACCGCCCTTATTCTCATCCAATAAATTCAGGAAATGGGAATACAATGAAGAAAACTTCGAATGGGAAGGGCTCAACAATGTTCCAGCTGTCGAATGCCGAGGTCAACGAAATGGCGGAAGGTGAATGGAAGGGAAAGTTGAAGGTGGAGGAACATCACATGACCTTCACGTGACCTGTAATACTGGGCTAACAACGGACTTAAGCTTACTCAGTACTACCTAACCTCATCTCCGATAACCATTGTGCCCTAATTATCTTATGAGGTCTTATTAGGTTGTTCTGCGAGAAACACAATACGCTTACATCACGATCTTAGTAGTTAAGGTAATCGGAGTGTGTCTATTCTGCATCGAAGGAATATCAATCGCTTGAAAACAGCAAGCCGCTGTTTTACGCTACCTATTCAATTGCTTGCTCCTTACCGAGGGTGCCCTTCTGCCCCTGGCCGGGAGTCCCAGCTTTCTCTAGGGTCACGGCCTTGGGGCTGGCTCGGGGTTGGGACTGCGGAGTATCTCGGAGCCTGACCGTGATGCACGTAGTGCTCTGGATAGTGCTGTGGCGGCGGCGGGGCTGTAAAATATGCCTGTGCAAGTCTAGGGTCGTATCCGGCATAAGTTTGTCCAGGCCACTGCCCAGGTATGGGTGGCACTGTGGGTGGTACTGTGGGTGGTACCGTCGGCTCGGAGATCTTGAGTCGCGTGTTAAGATTATTTGGCATCCTGGGGGCGCCAAAAGCGTCGAAGCGCCACAAGTTCTCGCGGGCTCGGCGGGCAAAGTCGGCGCCATAGACCTGCTTCAGGTAGCTGGTGAAACCCTTATAAGATTCGGCGACAGTGTCGAAGCTCTTTCTGCCCAACACAACAGGGCAATTATTATTGATGTCGTCCAAAGAGTCATCTGTTCCCCAGGCATCTAGTTCCGCTAGTGCGAGAGCGGATTGAAATGCGTTGCGGATTTGCCGACCGTTCCAGCGCCCTTCCTTGTTGTTATTGTAGTACTCTATCGCAAAGTGGGTGATCTCTGAGATATTGATATTAATTGTTCTCCCTGCTTTCTTATATTGTGCATTGATCCTGTCCCAGTTTTTCTCGAAAATCTGTAGTGTTGATTTCTCGTCTAGTGGAGGATAATAGAGACTGATGTGAATACGTGATGTAAAGGCCTCGTCGAAGACACCAACTCGATTGGTTGTTAGGAACAAAACTCCAGCGTAATATTCCATCATACGAAGAAACACTTGTACCGATTAATGATAAGATTGTCTAATGACTGAACGTGATCACTTACCTGCTACGAGACTGTTTCTTACGAAATCCTCTTTCGTTCTTTCGGCTAGAAAGACATCAGCCTCATCAATGAGTAGAATTGAGTTCCATCGACTTGCTAGGGAGAAGTTCTCCTCTAGCGAGTCTTCAACCTCTTTGGCCGTTGTGCCTAGATCCCCTTTCAAGATATTAGATTATGCAATTCTCGAGAGGGACAGATGCCCTTACCGCTAGTGATCTGGAATAATGGCCTTCGGAATAGGTCCGCCACACACTCTGCATAGCATAGTTAGCAAAAGAGCACCAAATATTGCGACATTATTTCGATAAGACCCACCTGCAGTTGATGTTTTGCCTACGCCGGGTACTCCGTGCAACAACAATATCAATCCTCTTCCTGGATTGCATTATCAGCCCATGGCTCAAGGATGAGGAGTGATTGCCGTACCTTTCCCTCGAACGACGTCCGTCCTATCTCTGTTCATCCCTGACAGTTTCCTTTCGCGCAAGTGCTGCCTTATCATTGATTTTACCACATCGCCGTGCCCAGAAGGGAGCACGAGCTCGTCGAACCCTTCACCAACTCCAAGCGACTCAACTTCGAAGACGTTTGTCATGTCAAGCTCGTCTATGTAAAACCCATGTCAGTGAACCTCAAGCCATATTAACTGGTTTGGGTACATACGCCATTTCCGACTTCGAAGTACGAATCCAAAAACCCGAAAAGACATAATCAAGTACTCGTCGTCCGTTAAATTATTGTGCTCTTCAATTTCGCGAAGATCTCGAGGTATGATGAATATCGGAGGTGGCGTGGACGATGACACATTTATTTGTGAAGCAAAATAATCCTCTTTTATCCAACCCTCAATATGTTCGTCGAAGTGCGTAGACTCAGTTTCGCAGCATTCATCGACACACCATTTCGGCTTCGTAGATTGAATATTGGCCCTAACGTCCACAGTATATCTTGGTTGCATTATTGGTGATGGTGGTGGTGATGATGATGATGATGAAGAGTCGTCATTCCACTTCCACTCCTGTGATGGGTCATTCGCCTTGGACCTCTTTGATATTGTTTCCTTAACTAGCGACTGAACGCTGGGTTTCCAGTCGGGATTACGGTTGATAGCCTCGGCAAAATCAATCACAACCTGACTATCAACCTCGTCACGCGTTTTCAAGGTCAACCCTTTATAATGCATATGCCGTATTCCAGCAACTTTGAGGAATGCTTTCCCCCTCTCGATAAGTCTTTCACGGAGTTTATCTTGCCTGGCGTATTTAAATGGAAAGACTGGTAAAGATGTTACCTTCGATAACCCTTCGTATCTCGAAAATTGAAAAACGCAGGGCGTGGGACCCAGTCGTCTCCCGTCGAAATCGATGTAAGCACAGTCAAGGCGTACGGGATTATTTTCGAATTGAACTTTGCCTATGTCCTTCGGAACTTTTATTCTACTCTTCTTCTGATCTTTGACCCGATGGCGAGCACAGTTGACATTGACAACTAGATAGGCCTGCTTGTAGTCTTTAGAAATGACTGTATCTCCTGGGCTGAAAAGTGTCGCGATGTCAGCAAAAGGGACAGCTTCGCGTGGTTTGCTACTGAGATTCTCTTTCCTGGCCCTTAAATCATTACTAATAAATGATAGAAGGCATTCCATTTGTTCTAGTCCAGCTACGACCCTCCTTTTATTTGTTTCATTATCAACTTGCTCCTCGCTAGCAGGCCAATCTGCAAATAATTCACACATTAGTTAACTGGAGAAATAAGTGTTGGAATGCGGTAGTATCACCTTGTAAAAATTTCTTCCCTGAGATTACTGTATCACGGAACTCTTGCTCATGATAAAATAGGGATCTGAATGGTCGGAAGAGCAGGAATGGTCCCGTAAAATTGATACCACTGATTTCCGAGAACGCTTTTATGATTGCGGGAGAGTTGATGCGAATTCTTTCAGGTAATATAGCGTTGCCGAGTTTACCTCCGACTGGGCTTTGTCCGTTCTGATCAGAGAATGTGGCAGTTGGAGAATCAAGACTGAGGTTCTTCTCTGCTAAGGCTTGGCGTCTCCGTTCCCTTGGACCCCTGGGTGGAATTTTGATCAATGGCTCGCCTTCAAGGATATCGATAGCATGAAAATCTGTTTTGCGAAAGAGTGAGACTCTGCCCGCAGCTTGGAATGAGTCCCAGCTAGCCCGATTCAAATCAGGGATGCAAAAGTCTGAATCACTGCTGAGAGTGGCTAACCAATGCATCGTTTCGTATGGTGCATCGGTGTGTTCGCCATTTATGTGGACTGTCGGAGATATTGCACTAATAGCATGAGCTTGGCCATTGGGATCTGCCTCGATGTCTGGGGAATTGTAAGAAACCTGAGGAGGGACACTAGGTCCGAAACGAATTTGTGGTGCTTGGGCGGCCAATGAATATCGCCTTGGGCCTCCATTAGACTCATATTCAATATTCATCGCTTCTTTGAAGTGAGAGTCTTCCACGATGATTGCGCCGCTCTCCTGGGCCCTATTTTCTTTCATTGCTAGGGCGATAGCAATCTTAAAACAATGAACTATAGAATGACCGTTCCAATCTACTCGTTTCATCTCTGAAGAGTGCAGAAAAGTAGAAGCATTCTCATGCAGCTGGAACTTCTTTCCCGCGTGAAGCTTTCTTTCCAGCTCGAACCATATCAGGTCACGCGCCTGGTCGTTAAGTGGGGGAAGTGTAACCTTTAGATCAACTGGAGAGACGTCTTGGTAGTAGTGATGGAAATTCACGCAACTCAGGAACAAAGTCCCCGTAAAACTTTCTAGGATATTAGTCAGCTCAAAGACGCTTATGTCGCCTTCTGGAGAATACGACGCATGAAAAATGGCGTTCCATTTTTCCCCTAACGCACTCCACACTGTCGGGTTTCTCTCGAGCTCATCTATCCTGAGCGGAATGATTGGTCGGCGACATTTCCGGGCGATGAATTCTTGGTAGCTCAGTATCCGTCCTTATACAGGTCAAACAGGTCAAACTCACCGACTATATAGGTTTTGCCGACACCAGGGAGCCCTATAAGTGTTAAGTGTCAGGGAAGTTTACATGGTTGTCTGATTAGGTGTACATACCATCGAGAAGAATGACGACACTGCCGTCTTTCTTCTGACCCGCAAAAGACTGTGACACGCCTTGACAGCCATTCAACTCTACGAGCGCTTGGATAGATTTCAATTTGCGCTCATCCATGATAGGCGGTAGTATCCCCTCGTCATCGTCAGGTAATGGGCGAATATATTCCGCATTGATCGGCACTATACGCTGTAGGTAAGTCTGTAGAAAGCGCTGTAGCTTTGCTTATCACCTACTCCACTGCCTTTCAGGTAGAGTGAATGCACTCAAACATGGGGATAGAATGAAATACTGGTCATTTGTCATAATGCCTGGACCATTCTTTTCTGGGACGACCACGAGCTCGACTCGACTCAAAGGGATCCGGACATCCATCGCTATCGCGTCGCTCAGCGACATCCAGTTGAAGTTCCAACTGTGCTTGGGGTACATGGTTTCAATATCATAGCAGCCGCCTATGACAATTTTTCCCGTATACTGCAGAAGTTAGCACAACAATGCCTGTCTCAAGTATCTGGGCGATGGTTACTAACGTTTTGTTTAGCATCATCCATACAATCACCGGAGTATGCCATGTACATAGTGTCTCCAAACAATACGTCATACACCTTTTTACCTCGGTCTATGAAACGTTGCATCATTTCAACTCTGTGCCCTGAGAAATCAGCTGGAAAGATATTCAGAGAAGCAATTGGCAGCTCCCCTTCAAAATGATCTATTCTAACAGTATTCAAGGAACACCCTATCCGGCTGGATAGCCAATCAACTCGGAGATACCAAAAGCCTATTGACCACGACTCTTGATCTTTAGTAGAGGGGTTGGCAGGGAGGCGATTACACTTATCAATTACACAGCCATGTAAATAGCCTTTCAAGTCGATATATCCCATCACTCCGGGCTTCATTATCATCCATAAGTCGTTGAAGCTGACTGTCGGTTGATCTCTCACAAATTTGTAACGCGTGAAACGTGGTTGAAGAAATTCTACGAGCACCTGCATATGCTCTACCTGTGTAAGATCTTCATTTGAAGATACTATGTCATCGAAATCTGACACATGATGGATCAGACAAGTATAAGGTTCCGATATAATGAGACGTGGCCCGGTTAAACTTTGGCTACAAAGGATTTCAGCGTTGAGTATATGAAAAGGAGTGGAGCTCAATACTCTGGATAAGCCTTCACTATGTCTCTGATAGTCTGAGATAGAATCTCCGAATGTACTATCATATGTATCTCTCTTGTGTTGATTTTGTGTGGAACGTCCACTTCGTCTAAGGACCCTTCAATGCGAGATTTGTTGGGCTCATCGGCGACATACACTATCTCTATGATTGGCTGAGTGTCATCTTCCTGGGATTCTTGTCGAAGCTCTACTGGCGACTTGCTCTGCGAAATAGTGCGAATTGGACGTCCTACAGGAATAGTTGTTGGGGCGGAATTATAATGTCGCACTGTATGTCGTATCTTGCCAAACCGATACTGCTCCATGGCGCTTAGCTACAACATCAACTGGATGAAGTAAATTGATGAAATATTTCTGAGCGAAAAGAAACGGGTCAACAGAAGCAGCTTTATGTGGCAGGTTAGGTGAGGAGTGGGAAAATGCCCCTCTCTTACTATCCATTTAGAATGTGGTGTTGGGCCGTTGCAGTCAGGTGGCGAATACCCATATAGGTACTGTTAGATGCAGGCTGACACCTCCCCCTCATCTTGCTGCTGCCTAAATCGAGGCAATTCGTTTTCGAATGTTTTGTGGCTAGTGCTTTCAGCCCGTCATTTAGAACGTATATATACAAGCGAAGGAGTATTATACAACGCACTGCCTCAGGGATTAGGTGTCGGGGGGCCCTACTGTTCATGGGGCATGGGGGATATTTTAAGGAATCGGTTACCTTGGGCATCTCCAACGCTTCCAACGACCACCCCACATTTTCTGGCAGGAATTCCATCTACCAATACTTGCACCCGTCGTGGTAAACGGAGCCCTAAGGAATTTCTATTGTACGCCGTCATTATCCGGGCATTTCATATCCTGGCGCACACAAACGCGATGGCAGATGGGGTTTGTAGTTTCTCCAAGGTGCTAAAGGAATTGAAAATCAGATTCCCAGAAGAGCCCCGAGGACTAACCGAAAAGGGGTGCAGCATCCGCCGAAAATCCAGTTGGGGAGATGTCTTGGTGGTGTTAGATGATGTAGCAACGGCTTATGCAGCGAAGGATGGATTGAAGGGATTATTTAAAAGAGCCAAGGGTTTTATAGAGGACCAGGCTGACACCATAGAACGAGGGTCACGGCTCGTGCCAGATATCGGCTACTCCAAGCCCATTGTTGGTACTTTAACATTCATCCTTACAGTGCGTCCATAATCTATTTCTCCTATCCAACCGATCTGACCATAGAACCGTTACAGGCATTTAAACAAACCAGCAAGGTACGACAAGAAGTCAGCGATGGCGTCGAAAAACTCAAGAAGAAGTTTGATCTTGTTGAGGACTACATTGAGCTGTATTCGACCAAACCCAAAGTCACGGAGAGCGCCATGACTCTTTACGTGACCATACTCCAGGCTATAGAAGAAGTTATTGGCTACTATACAAGACATATGGGTGAGTGCGAGAAGTGGCGGGTTCGTGAACATCATAAACCTCTACGATACTAATAAAGCCATAAAGTAATCAAAGGATTTAAGGCGCTATGGAATGGGGAGAATTACGAGGAGTCACTGCTGTCATGTTTGGAAGATATCACTAGTGTCAGCAAAGAGCTAATGGACGAAGCTGACACCGCTCACAAACAAATGACTAATGCAATGGCTAAAGATGTACAGACCGGTAAGTACCGGTAGATAACGGTTAGATGGTTTTCTCTGCTAAATGAAACTTTAGGGTTTCAAGACGTGAAAATATTGGTAGAGCAGACTGAGAAAGATTTAAAGGAGAGCTTGAAGGCCATGTTCAAAGATCACATTGCTGCAATGGAAGCTAGGCATGCGAAGGAAAAGCAGCTTCTACGACACGAAATCGAACAGCGAGATGGTAAGATATTTAATCCAGAATCTTGCATAATTTAGCATTTCTAATGAGTATTACAACAGCCGAACGTGCGAGATTTGAGCAGCTCTACTATCGTTCCCTTACGCCTGCGCCACCTTCGAAAGCTGAGTGTATTGTTAAACAGGAAGATTTTCTCGTTTTCCTTGACATGACAGGCATAGAGACAACAGACATTGAGTACATCACACAACAGAGGGAATTAGTCATTTCGAGGGGCCGAGATCGCACAGAGCAGGTCATGAAATCGAACCAGCTCCGGGAGTGGCTAATCCAACCACATTCAAAGGAACTTTTAATCCACGGAAATGGCGAGCCTCTTCCCATCTCCCCTCTATCGTTCTTCTGCGCGACGATCATGCAGAACTTGCGTGGCGTTGGAAGATTCAAGTCAGTTGCATTCTTTTGCGGCTGTCATCCTTATGATGACTATGGCGGAGGCAGGACACTTATTATGAGCCTCCTTTCTCAGCTCTTGCAGCAGCAACAATTTGACTTGAGCTTTATCGACCACGAAACAGCTCACCGAATGAGTAGCGGCGACAGCCTAGCATTCTGCTACGTCTTCGGGCGACTCCTGGAGCAGGTCAACACGAATGAAACTGTCTTTTGCGTTATTGACGGGATAAATTTCTATGAATGTGCAGGAGAGGAACCACTGCAGGAAATGTCGGACGTGTTACGGTTTTTACTGGACCTCTCGCAACAACGGGATTCAGTATATAAGATTCTAGTGACCAGCCCTTCGAGTACCGAGGACGTGCGGCAGGCGATCAAGGATGAGGATTACCTTGCATTGCCTGACCAAGCTACAAACACCATAGGTTTCAGCAAGAAGCGTTCGGAACGACAGTGGCAAGAAGCAGTCGATGTATCTTAGTGGTCGCCATAGCCCAGTAAACTGAGTAAACTATTCTACCAAAAGCATGAGCTACGCCCTCTGGACACTGCTATCGTCGGAGTTATCATAATCAAATTGAAGTTATGGTGTCTGCAATTGCACATAATTATTGGATTCTAATCTCAAACGTGTGTTCGGTCGTAATGAAAGGTTGGTTTAAGAGTTGTGAAGACCTAGTGTGTTTGATAGAGAACGATGATTAAGCCGGCACATTTGAGGGCAATCAAATGAGGTGTTTTACTTTCAAACTTCAGAAGACAATGGCTATGAAGGATGAAGCCAAGATCATTTAGCAGCCTACTATAAGTCTGTAACATAGTCCTTATCTATATCCCTGCCTAAGTGCCTACGCCTGTTACACAAATTAGTTTTAATGCAATTGGAGCCTAGTTAACTGAATAACGATTGCTTATTATTATAAATATATGTGGCATAAGTACCTAATGGAACCTATTACATAAGCGCCGCTCACCCTATTTCACACCACTCCAATACATCATTCTCATGCCATGAGCACTCGAAATGATTGGCCTACAATTCCAGATTGTAGCGAAAATGATAGCGTTGTTTTTTGTGGTCTTGCCAACTAAACCTCCCTAAAACTTACAAGCGGGCCGGAAAATGTTGTAAAGTTCTGAGGCTCGAGGTTGGTTTGAAAGCGCTCGTAGGTGCAATAATCCTCACCACAATACATATTCAAGACCTGAAAGACCAAGAAGGTTGATAGCAAGCGAGGACCGAAGACGGCACCACTTGTACTAGGAGATTACCTGTGCGGTATTGCTTTGGCATTGTTGATCCCTTTTTGGTCACTGATTATAATGAAATTTTGGTAGCTGGACATGGTCTGCTCCTCATTTTACTGTTTGCTAGCGGCCAGGATGGCAGGAAGGGCCCTACTCAAGCGTGAGAAGAGAGACAACGCTCGAACTTGGAGGCTCTGGTGCTTTTGGCACATCAACCTCTACGCTTTATCATTATTGAGCAGCAGATGTGGATGCCAGGGACAGCAGTAGTTATTTTGGGTAAATCAGCATGCCTTTTAGACATGAGAGTGTTTTTCTTATGAATACATGTACAATCTTGAAGAGAGTACACCCAGCTTGACTTAGTTCCTCTTGTCTACCGCCGTAGTTTGGGACACTGTGGGATCAAGGCATTAGGATTGACTGAATATAACATCTCTTTCACATCACACATCTAGATAAAACATGGCGTTACTAATCTGTGACTAATAATAGTCTATACTATGAGGGCGTGGTGGGCTATCTCTCGGCGGATAGGTCACGAGACGAATAAGTAGCTATAGCTAGTGTTGGATGGCGTAAATGAAGCGCTGCGAATATGCCTGTACGCGAAGTAGCCAAGCCCTGCCGACAGCTCCTCGCTTGAGAAACTGAGTAGATTGGAAAGACACTTTCAAGTCAGCCACAAGGTTATTAGGACGTGGCCTCATTGCTCGCCCGATACTCCATCTTGGATCTCTAGGTAATTAGCCGAAAACTTCCGCGCACCTCCCTCTCTCAAGAACCATACAACATCGCAATTCCATCTGCTGCACGCTTTCCCAGAGCTTCCAATGTGCCAGCGCTCAGCATTTCCATTGTACTGATATCGAAGCCAAAATTCTGCTTCCACCAGGCGCGCAACTCGACTGCAACCAACGAGTCGAGGCCAAGGTCAGCCGTAGTCGACGTGATATCGACATCCCGATCTGCTATCAAAAGCAGCCCGAATAACTTCTGTCCAATCGCAGTAGAAAGCGCGGTTATGGTCTCGCTGGTCCCAATCTGGACTGGGTTCTTTCTGAGTAAAGTGAGGAGGGTACTTAGCCCGTCATTCTTCGTCGTCGTTTTGGCATTGCTGTTTCGGATGTTATGGTAGGCAGCTAACCGAACATCCCTTCTCAGTCTCGCGCTACTATCTGGGCTACTAAGAGGTGCGGTCGGCGCGAACCCGAGAATGAATGCGCCCGCCTTTGGTCCTTGTCCTTGGCTTGCGCACGCTGTAGAACGTCTCATCGCTAGGTCTAGGGCATCAAGAAGCTCTATTTCCTGCACAGCACGCCACCCAGAGCCTTGCATCTTGCGGAGAAGCTCCTATTAGAACACTTGAGATTAGTAATCTTTTGAGTCGGCGAGAGATCTCCAGAGCTTCATGGTTTTAGAGAGGCATGTAGAGTAATCAATACTTCCAACTTTGGCAATTCAAGAAAAGAGGGTAAATAATGACTGAAGTAACCAACCTGATTTTCGGATAGATAACCGACTCCCTCCATGGCACCAAGGTCAATTGCCGTGCATGGTAAGCCTTGGCTCGTGCGATACTCCACGAAAGCGTCAAGGAAGGTGTTCGCGCTGGCGTAGTTAGACTGCCCGACTTGTCCTATGACACCTGATAAGGAACTGAATAAGAGGAAGAAGTCAAGGTCCAATCCTTTAGCCGAGGTGATATTGTGGAGGTTCCATGTGCCTTGGACTTTAGGTTGAGTAACAGCATTCCAATCATCGAAACTCATATTGTCAAACATTCGATCGCGCAGCACCATCGACATCTGCACAATGCCTTTTAGGGGAGCTACTGTACCGTTAACGGCGCGGGCCACATCGTCGGCATTCGTAACGTCGCCTCGGACTAGCTGGATAGTACAGCCCATGCTCTCAATCTCGCGAACGAAATCCATATCGTGTTGGCCGTTGCCAGCGCTGCGAGACAAGAAGGTGAGGTTCCTAGCACCGCGCTGCACCATCCAGACGGACATCGAGCGCCCCAGCCCTCCCAGACCGCCAACAAGCAAGTACGATGCCGTTGCATCTAGTTGGAGGCTGTATTTTTTCGTACGGTTGACATTATCCACCAGCAACTTTCCATTTGACTTGCGAATCTCGACAACGATCTTGCCAATGTGTTTGCCTTGCTGCATGTACCTAAAAGCGTCCAGGATGGCCGGCGCCTCAAATACCTGATCTATTCGTATGGGTCTCAGGTCGCCCTTGGCAAATGCCTCCATTGTAAAGCGAAGTAGGCTGAAGGGAGCATCAGGTTAGAAAAAAAAAAGATTCAAATTGAGAGTCAGAGGTTGAATTTCGGGAGGCATTCCATACCGGCTGTTAATTTCGGGTCTCTCGATCCGCATCTGATCCATGTCCAAGCAGCAATAATTCCGGTTGGCTAGGAAATGCTGCATTTCAAGCCGTGCATTTTCCAGGAGATCTCGCTTTCCGATTTCAACTAGGGTTCCGAATTTGGCGACGCATTTCCAGGTCGCGTGGAGCATCTCACCTGAGAGGGAGTTAAGCGCTACATCGACACCCTTCCCACCTGTTTCGCGTAGCAGATCATCCGCAAAGCTGATGTTCCTCGAATTGAAGATGTGGCTTCTTGGTATGCCGAAAGTATCTATTAGGTACTGAGCTTTTAGATCGCTGCCGACTGTAGCATAAATCTCGACTCCTAGCATCCTGGCTACTTGGATGGCGCTGAGTCCGACGCCACCGCAGGCGCTGTGAATTAGGATTGACTAGATTTATAGCTTATAGTTAGCGTATTACTCATTCTAAGGGGGAAATGTCCGTCATTATGGTATACATACCTGCCCTTTAGTAAGCCTGCCTAAGTCAATAAGACCATAAACTGCAGTTAAGAAGACGGTAGGGGTGCAGGCGCCGTCGAGGAAGCTGATGTTATCAGGTAATTTCTCACAAAGCAATTCTGACTCAATAATGACAGTAGAGAAGGTGTTGGCGCTCATGACGACGGCGCGATCTCCAACACATAGCTTTTTCACGTTCGGTCCGACCCGCCGCACAACGCCAGCTGCTTCATATCCGAACTTGGATCCCGGGACAATCTGCATTCCAACGAGTACGTCCTATGAGATGAGGAAATGACTGTGAGCAACTAATCGTGTTAGGTGGGAGACCGATGAGATCGACTTACTCGGAAATTCAAGCCGCTAGCATAAACCTCAATCTCGACTTCACCGTCCTTTGGAGCGGCGGCATTATGTGACGACCAAGTTAAAGTATCGATACGCCCTGGCTGCCCGATGGACACGCAAGCTTCGTCTGACTCGTCGGTAAACTGGAGCTCCTTTTCGAGCGCAAAAGGGAAAATGCGATGTACGAGAGTTTCACCGCCAGAAATCGTGTATTCGTAGTCAGGCCCCAGAACACCACCCTCTTCTCTCATCTGAAATGCCCCTAAAACCCTAACCAGGGCTGAGGCGTCTCCTGGAGTGATCACCTCATCCATCTCGCAAGTCGCAATATTAACAGCCGTCTCGGACCTCAGAGAGCGAGCGAATCCGATAATTTGCGCGAATCTAGGGTCTTTGCACTCGATACTGGAACGTCGCGTGACCCAAAGGAGGCTGGAAGAGCTTAATAGATCTTGTAGCATCAGAGATTTTAAGCGCATGAATGACTCAGCCCCCAGGTTTTCAAAGAAGGGGCGTTCCTCATCGAGAAGTGCAAGCACGTCTTGGTCCTGCGGGAGTGGCTGGCCTAAAGAAGCACGTTGTACCTCGTATCCATGAGATGCCAGCTCTTGGAGAATGAGACTTGGCGCTGATGACTCGTCAGCGCACAGCAATGTTATCTTCTTCTTGGGGGCCGTTGGATGGCTTGGTCTTGCTACTAAAACACTGTTCGTCCAATGCTCGACTTGCTGCACATCCCCAAATCCAGCGGATCGCAATTCCTCTTGCCACCTTGTTGCATCGACGAATGGTTCCAGTTCCCGGCCGTCGTCCGTATGTGACCACCAATTAGGCAGAATTCCTAGGACGAACTTTGCCCACAGCAAGCCAGTTCGCGGCTCTTCGAGAAGTAGCCGTCCATTCGGGCTTAACAGACCTCGAAGACCCTGTAAGCTTTTTTGAATGTTAGCCGATGTGTTGACAACGCCAGCTGCAATAATCACGTCGAAACTGGCATCCTCAAATCCCTGGCTTTCCATGGCCTCGTTTATATTCATTGTGGAGAACTCCACATTCCGTAGCTCCTTCAATCGTTCTCTTGCCACATTCAGCAGGTCTGATGATGCATCCGCAACAACATATCGCGAATAAAGAGGAGATCCATTGGTATGTGTTAGATCTTTGATGATGTTCGCCGTTTTCTCCCCGATACCGGCACCAACCTCAAGAACCCTCATAGTAGTTTTACTCTGCGCCAGGCATTTCAGATACGGAGAACTACCTTGCTTCCATAGGTAAGTGATGAAGCCGTCTAAGTTTCCATCTAAGCTGAGAATTTCGAATCCTGTCTTATTGCCCCTTAACACAGCTTCAAGATTCTGAAGAACTGTAATCATGGTGGTTGCAGATGACGCCACAGATGTGCTTTGGAGCCTCTTAGCTAACAAATGTAGTTCATCCATGGAACTTGCATCCGAGGACTCAGGTACGGTGGACGCCTCCTGAATGAGCCAATTTTTGTATCGGTCTAGATGAGGAGCTTGTACCTCTATACCCTTTGCCAGCTTATTAGCTATATTGATGGCTAACCCCGCCATCTTTGATAACAGAGGCAATGTCGAGTGATAATCTTCTGGATGATGAACGAGATTTGCAGCGTCGCTGAAGTCTATATGAGGAAACCATTCACCCCGAGCCGTAATCGGCACACTTTCCTCATCGTTCATATCAGATTCCTCAAAAAAGGAAGAATGGCAACCGGTTACCGTCATGAGAATTCTTGATCCCGATGAGATAGTCCCAGTGGCAACGCATCCCTTGGCAGGCGTGGTCATGTTTGTAAATTCAAGCTCATCCTCGGTGCATCGATAAATGGTCATAGCTTCCACGCTCGTCAGAATTAATCGCCGGTAAGCATGACTTAGTCCATTGAAGTTAGAACTGCTCTGTAGTTGGAAGAAAGTGTCCAAAATAGCAGGATGTAGGTGGTACTGCGCCTCATCGCCCCATTTAAGATTCCTCATCTTGGCTGTGGCTTGATCAGGCGAACGGGTCGATGTTCGTAACTCCTCCATCCTGGCGAAGGCTGGGCCATAGGACAGGCCTTGTCGTCGCTGTGCTTCGTACCATTTTGACACATCAACTCTCCGTGGTAGTGGACTTTCTTGGTTGTGGGGCTGTTTCATAGGAGCCGTTGATGATTCTCCACGAACTTGACCCCAGCAGTGCTTGGTCCAAACGTGACCATTGTGCGAACAGATGGTGAAATCCCACCACTCGCTGTCCAGAGAATCAGTCAATTTATGGTGACGTAGCGAAGTCACGACTTCAATGGCCGAGTCTTCAGGGACTACCAGCGCCGTGTTGACTATCACATTGCGAAGGCTGACCCCTTCCTCGATTCCTGTAATTTGTCGCGCGGCTTCAGCTGCCATCGATAAGTACCCCGCGAAAGGAAAAATGGCATTTTCACCGATCCTGTGATCCTGTAGCCAGGGCGTTGTGCGAATGCCTACGAAGTTGCGCCAAATCGGTTCTAGGTCTGTGCTCTCTGGAAGTTTTGAGCCTAGTAAACTGTGTTCGGGGTATTTGCGTTCCCGCCATTCTTTCGCCAAACGGGACTCAAACCAGTGTCTCCGTTGATGATCCCATGGATAACGCGGCAAATCTGTTAGGCAAGTACCGCTGGGCATAAGAGACTTGAAGTCTATTGGCACGCGCAACAAATACAACTTGCCAATAGCTTGCAAGAGGTTCTCTAAGCTATTCTGGCGCCGGACTAGGGAGGCAACATAAGTAGCTTTGCTTGATTCGGTCACCAAGATCTGTCTTATCGGACCTGCAAGGGCGGAGTGCGGCCCAATTTCCAGGTATACCTGGTTTTTGAGATCTTCGCAACGAATGATGCCAGTGACTGCGGATTTAAATAAGACCGGACGCTGCAAATTCTCCCTCCAGTATACAGGTCCAAGTTGGTCAGCCTTACCAGTGCCGAATCTCTTCCCTCTCACGCTAGAAAAGAAGGGAATAGATGGCTTTTCCCCAACTACTTCTGAAGCCACCATGGCCCGAAAATATGACTCGCCAACTTCCTCCATATGATATGAATGGTACGCCTTGTCAACCTTTAGTACTGTTGCTGGGACATTCTCATGAGATGCTTTAATATCAGCTACGACTTGCTCAAGCTTATCAGCATCTCCTGAAAGGGTTACGCTGTTGGTCGAATTGTCACAGGCGATGGTAACCCCGGGAACGAGGTATTTCTGTGCTTCTGCGTAGCACAATCCCACCGCAGCCATCCCTCCGTGTCGAGTGCACAACTTGGCCTTTACGCCCCGATAGAAGGCAACAGTAATGGCTTCTCTCGCGGTGAGACCTCCAGCGGCATATGCCGCGGCCATCTCACCACTAGAGTGGCCTACTACAGCTGCTGGTCTGATCCCAATGGCTGCTAAGGCATCAACAAGCGCGAGCTGTATAGCGGTGCAAAGAGGTTGCGAGATCTCGGCCTCGTGCACTCGGCTGGTCCTCGCTGGCTTCATTAATTCTTCTTCCAGTGTCCAACTAGGTGCATCGGCACCCAGAGTTTGCAGATGTTTATCGAGCGATTGGATGGTTTGAGAGAATATACGGCTAGAGCGCATCAGCTCGCGCCCACATCCTGGCCATGCGGCTCCTTGTCCAGTGAACACCATAACAATAGACGGGGTTACTTGTCCACTCTGTTGAGGCGACATAGAGCTAGCTATGTCGAACCGATCATGTGAAGCAATCGCGAACGATCGATGAGCGAGATGTTCTCTTCGATTTGCGAGAGTATATGCAACATCTGATAAGTTAATATCGTTGCTGTTGCTAAGTAGAGACTGGTATTCCTGTACTAGGTCTTTCATGGAGTAGGCAGTGTTCGCAGAAAATATTAATAGTTGTGGTTTATCGGTGGCGGTTGGTGTATCTCGTCCGTTCATCTGACTTGCAGGTAAAAACCGTCCCGGCGCTTCCAGAATAACGTGGGCGTTGGAACCCCCTACGCCAAAAGAATTGATACTGACTCGCTCGTCCCGGCCAATCGGCCATGCTGTAGGCTCAGTAGGTATTTGAAGCTTTGCACTCTCAAAGGGAATCTTGGGATTCGGCGGCGAGTACTTGATATTTGGGGGGATGGTTCGATGCTGTAGCGCCAAGGTTGCCTTCATGACTGCGGTGAGACCAGATGCTCCCTCTGAGTGGCCCAAATTTGGCTTGACTGCACCGATGTAGATACCATTTCCGCCAAAGACCGACGCGACCGCCTCGGTCTCTATAGGGTCTCCAGTCGCCGTTCCCGTCCCATGACACTCGAAAAGTGCTGTCCTTGAAAAATCAGATATACCAGCAACCTTGTATGCACGTCTTATTAGAGCTTCTTGTGCGGTCGCGCTTGGACTGGTTAAGGGGTTTGTTTTCCCGTCGAAGTTCGTTGCGCTGCCCGAAATCACCGATCTGATGGGATTGCCATCACGAAGTGCTGCGCTGAGAGACTTGACGTATATTGACACTACGGCTTCGCCCCGAGCGTACCCATTGGCATCAGCTGAAAACGTTCTGCATTCTCCATCTGGACTCAAGAAGTTTTGATCCGATAACCTCGTGAATAGATCTGGAGCCAAGATCAGATTAGTGCCCCCGACAATAGCAGATTCGCAGTCGCCTTTGAAGATAGCCATGCAAGCCTCATTGAGACCAATAAGTGCAGACGAGCAGGCCGTGCGAATTGTCATGCTTTAATTCGAGTAAGTATCAAGTTGACTAGTCGGAAACTTTGTATGCGTGGTACTTACCTAGGTCCTCGTAGATCTAACTCATGGGATACGCGCTCCGAGACCATGAAATCGTGGGACGTGATAACCGAATAGGTACTATGGCTTAGTGGTTCTCGCTGTAAGATATCGTACCAATCCTGACCGTAAGACCCAACATAGACACCGATGTTCTTGCCCTTCCACCCAACTTCACCGGCATCATCCAATGATTCACGAGCCACCTCGAGCATCATGCGTTGCTGGGGATCGAGCCACTCTACTTCCATCCGCGACATGGAGAAGAAAGATGTGTCAAGGCCACCAAGATCAACGGTCTCATCCAAGAAATATCCGTATTGGGTAGCAGCCATACCAGGTCTTTTAACCGGGGAATAAAAGCTGTCGATATTAAAGCGAGATTTTGGAACTCTAATGCGCCCGTCGCGCCCTTCGATTAAAAAATCCCATAACGCTTGAGGGGAGCTTATGCCTCCTGGAAGACGGCATGCCATGCCGCAGATGGCTATAGGCTCAAAGCACTTATCTCCGGTGGACTCGGTAGAGGGCTGGTCGACATGATTATTGGTGCCGTTCGTATGCTCATGGGTATTTCCTGAAGCACAGGTCGTTTGACCATTGAGCCCATTTGTATCATGGCCGGGGTTCGCATTCCCATTTGAGGAACTGAGCTGAGCCATCTTGATCAGCAAGGCGACAAGGTAACCAGTATAACCCAGTAGTATCGATAGCACTAGGACGGGCTCTAAGGGGAAATCCTTGTGATATAGAAGAAAATATTTAGCTCCCATATAGAGTAGTCCGGATAATGAGATGCGCCAAGGATGGTATGAGCCAACCTCACGATGGAGTCGAAATCAATCTCCCCTCGGTGACCTTCGACGAAAGCTTATGCATGTCCCAAGCGTTCGAGCATGGTAACCCAAGGCAATGGGCTGCCGAGCTCCCGGTATCCCGGTCCATCGTTGGTCAACTAGCATCCAGTCTGTCATCGCGAATTCTCCGCTGAAGGGCGGTGTTTCGCGATTGGCTTCACCAACTGGACAACATGACCAGGTGAGAGCTTAGGTAAACGAAGCTGACAAGAGCTACCTCGGTAGTCTAGTCAGCCATACAACAGGGGGTCGGATCGAACACCCATGCCGGAATCAGCCACCGCTAAATGGGCTGGTCAGCCATGAGTGGAGCTAGTGACATTTCAGGAGAAACTAGGCATTTCGTGTTCTTCGTCACTAGAACAGGAGGACATAGCCCAATTATGGATGACATACGTGTCTCGAACGCTGGCACCTTTGAGTGAAGGACACCAAGGAATCCAGAAAGACGCGTTTATGTGCTTTACGTACTTTACAACTCTGGGCGAAGTAGTTAAGCTAACGGAACCGCTCTACGAGTGGTCGACACACATAACTATGTAGTGGATTGAGCCCCCCGCAGATGAGCATTGCTGCCCTGAGACTGTCGTACCACCTTTGCCCCAATCTAATAGACGTCGTGCTTTAAAGACGACAGTCCTCCTCAAGATGTATTACCAGTCCATGCTTAAGGAGCACTTCCAGTCGCAAATACTACGCGGCCCCTCCATGAAGGGAGAGCCCGCGTTCTACCGCAGGCTCGAAGAAGCCTTAGACGTCCACCGCCAGAAAGGGGGACTGGCTATTGCCAAGCCGCGCTGGGACGACAGTGTTCTGGATTTAACCACGAGCGACTTCCTCTCCTTAAGCCGTTCGGGCCGCATTCGAGAAGCATTTCTTGAGGAACTCGCGAGGTGTGGTGATTTCCGGCTGAGTGCCTCGGGGTCACGCACACAATACGGCAATTACGACTATCTCCTCGAGGTTGAGCGCGAGATAGCCGAATTTCATAATGCCGAGACGGCCTGGATCTGTCACTCTGGCTTCTTCGCTAATGTCGGCGTCCTAGAGGCCATCCCTTTGCCGGGCGATGCCATTGTATGGGACGAGTTGTCACACGCGAGCACTATCCTCGGGCTCAAGGTGAGCGTGGCTGCCCATAACATCTCTTTCAAACACAATAGCCCCGATTCTTTGAGGGATGTCTTGACGTCTCTGAAGAACTCAGATGCGGCTTTTGTGACGGGAACCAAGTCTATCCTCATATCTGTTGAGTCTGTCTATAGCATGGAAGGCGACATATGTCCACTAAAGGAGTTGGTAGCAATCGCGAAAGAGCTGTTTCCCGCTGGGAATGCCCAGTTTATCGTGGACGAGGCGCATAGCAGTGGTGTGCTGGGCCCAAAAGGTGCCGGTTTAGTGAGTCGTTCGCAACGCCTGAGATAGTGACAGTAGTATTTGAAACTAATTCACTCTGATCAGGTTCAACTTCTTCGACTGGAAAAGGATATTGCCATTCGCATTCACATGTGTAGCAAAGCATTAGGCTCTACTGGAGGTAAAGAACTGTCGATCTTTTGCTGGGCTTCATGGTACGTATAGAGTTTAATGTTTCCCAGGCGTGATACTATGTAACAAGACGGTACGGAGCGCGCTAGTACAATACTCTCGTGCGATGACGTTTAGTGGCGCACCTTCTGTCCCTATGGTCGCTTCGATACGGGCGGGTTACAAGTTATTGATGACTGGTCAGACACAAAAGGTAGGCAAGTCCGCCGAGTTTGAACCCCACGAGGGGCATGTTAATGACAATTATGCTTACTCTTCACAGGAACAGGGCCAGATTCAGCAGATCGTCTCGCATTTCTTCAAATCTCTTTTGGTAGATCCGGCATGGGAAGACGCGATGGACGAAGGGATTCTCTCCGTGCCTCTTGCGGAGGACTGGGATGCCAGGCCTTTCCATTCCCATATCGTACCAGTCAAAGTGCGCACAGGAGACGAACAATCGTTGTTCATGCAGCTTATCATGGCTAATATAAATGCCTACTGTATCTCCTATCCAGTCGTGCCCAAAGGCACGGCTTTGATCAGGCTGGTGTTCCATGCACATAATACGAGAGATGACATCAACCGTCTGATCTCTGTCATTGGGGAATGGGCAATTGAGATGCTCAAGATCAAAAATGGCGAGGCAAAGAATACAATACCCAGTGCCGCACGCCACGTGTTTTCGATGCAAGCAGCAGGATGGAAGTAATTGAGAGGAGCTATTTTGGCATATACTGCCAAACTGCGCATGGAAAGATCTACATCGTATTAAGTCATTGGCGAATCTGTGTAACTCAGAAATCTCTATTTTGTACCTGCAAGTCAATATACATCAGACACGCCACGCATCACGTTTTATATGCATAGAATTGTAGGTCTCGATAGGCACATCAAGCTGCGCTGATGCGAGAAATGTTGGTTGGGCTCTGTTGGAGTACCTGCCTGATAATGCAACCGACGTGTCACGAAGTCCTTCCCATAATCATATGATAGTATAAGTCCTTATAAATATTGATTCGGCATTGTACTACAGTTTCTGCGGCCGGCGTGGAGTACTGAATGAATCATGTCATCATTGGGTTCGCCATGAAAATTGTGTGGATGTTGTGCAGGGGCTTATGTCCAAGATTTCATCCATATCTGGGCTGTAGACGTAGTTTTAAGGAGCGAAAAAAACACACAAAAAGTTACATTGGGTTAGATATGGGATAGACACGCATTTTATATGCGCTGCTCTCTTTGGTAACCTTTACCTACCTAGAGAGTAGGGTAAACTATCGGAGTTTCCGTAGAAGAATTTTAGGAAGGTTTTTTATTATTGAGCTTAGAATTTTGTTCTACCCATGAATATCGAGTGTATTCTAGAGTTTTTCACGTTTCTTCTCTTTTATACATTGGTCTATAGTTGTGGTCGAAATGCATTATATTCTTTAATCTTCCTCCCCATTTTCCTTTTCTGTACGCCTAGTTAGGGGCAGAAAGTAGAACAGCTAACGCAGCGCGAGCGGTTCTGTCGCAATACAGTCCCTCAGCTCCGGCTAACTCGGTTAGAAGGGTCCACAGGCAAGGCATCTACAAGGGTCATCGTTTAGCGAAGGATCAGACAGCCACCGAGTTGCGCATGTATGTATGCTTACCGAATCCGGAGCTGCGTCCAGCTGCTCTGACAGCGTCATCCCCTCCCAGTCATGTGAACGGGGCGCGCCGTCTCGTCTGCCCCAACCATGATCACGTAGCAATCTCTCAATGGCGACGATGAGGTTGGCCGACTCGTTGCGAAATTGGCTAGGCTCTATTACTCTACCTTGAGCCTCTATTTCCGCCACGTAAGTGCGATCTGTAAATCATCGTTAGCAGATATCCTGTCAAGTTCGTGGGCCCGAGGGAATATTGCGACGCGTGAGACTCACTAGCAGCTTCCGAAATTCCTTCTCGAAGTCCCCGGGACTCCCACCGCTGCCATTGGACACTGTTGTCCTGAAGTTTCATCAGCATTGGTTTGAGCCGACGGCTACGGCTGGCGCTCTGTGCCATAGCTGGTAAGCTCTCCTTCTCGAAGGCAGCGGTGTAGTATGCTGCAGCCATCTCGTCGAAGTGGCTGAACCCAAGCGACTGCACTAGGTCAATTATGGCTACGAAACGTCGCGTCATGTCAGCTACGGAGGCACCATGTGACGAATAGCCGACGATGCTAGAAGACGCGCCGAAAGGCGGCACACTAGAAGGCGATTGGGTGCTCAGCCTTGTATGTGCGTGACTGCTGCTGGTGCTACTGCTTTCAGTGCTGTTATGGCAGTGAAATGGCTGTTGTTGGTGCAACTCACTGACAAATAGGACTAACTTAGCTCCATATGTCATATTGGTATAGGGGAGAGTGGGAAAAGAAACATACTGCGATAGAGAGAAACCGGTCCGGTCAAGCGGCGGCTGAGAAGCCTCCTGGTGCATTGAAATTTCGCCTCCAGGCATATTTTTGGTCCTGTGGTGTTGATTTGACCGCAGCGAACTTGATGTCTCCCTTAGTACCTGCGTTCGCATCTTTTCTATGTGTCCAGGACAAGGGCCTGTTGTCTCATTGCAGGTGCAGTTGTTGGCAGGAGAGTCAGTCTCAAAGTGAGATAGATGACCCTCCCCACTTAGTGTTGGCATAGGCATTCCTATCATCGAGTCAACGGGGGACCAAGCAGGCAGTTGCTGCAGAACTAGGTCCTCTGCCATGAGAGGAATCATTGCTCCCGAAGACGGTTCAGCCGATTCAATAGATGGGGCACAGAAGGGGACTGTGTTATCCGCAACGTTCAAAACTCTAGGCTCTTGGAAGTTGCCGCCGTGGCTCGTTGTGAGTGGAGGGTTTCCTTCCTCGAAACTCACAGTCGGCTCGTCCTCCTGGTAGGGCTGATGCGCAATGGGCTCGACAATACAGGTCTCCCTATTAGCCGCGTTCTGTATTCGCATACCTATTATCCAGACTCTGAGTGTAAGCTAAGACCACTGTGAGTCCACATGGGCTTGAGCCTAGGTCCGGGCACCTACGGCGGTTGCGCTGAGAAATTCTATTCTGCAGTCTAGGAAATTTCCCGTTAACTAGGCCTGCCCGAGCCGAGGCGCTAGAGTGCTTCACCATACCTTCTTCTCTCTACAGCTCGTGGGCTAGTGGACCGATTGTACTTTCTGGGGGCTTTAGGCTGCGTTTGCTCTGCGAGGTCATGCTCCATGAAGGATGGGGCTCGGCATACTGGTGTGAGTATTTCTCGGCGATGGCGGCTACTTGTGTCGTAGCTCTAAATAACTAATATAAGGAACACACGACACGGTAGTTTCGACCTCTCACTTAAGCATTAACTAAGCTTGCTTCCTCCCCGTACCCGCGCCGTGCGCCTGCAGTTGAGCTAGTGACATGCCATAAGACAAAGTTCATGCCACCGTCCTTGCATGCAGCCAACATACGGCGTTTGAAGAAGATCACAGAAAATTGTCTTCTGAAAGCCAGTGGGCATTAAAAGGTATATGTGCTCTCCGGGGCTCGTCTGGCGTTGCTGATTGGGGCAATGTAGGTTTGGGGTATTTAGGGTGCTTGTGTATGTGTATAGATATGTAGGCTCCTATTACGCCTTTCATACTCTCAGAATGCACTACCTGGATTCTACAACTGTGTACAGAAATAACTCCAGCATAACACTAATCGTAGAAGAAGTATATGTAATGTCTATTGCCCCCTTTTCCGTGTTCATTATTTGAGTATTCAACACACGCATGAGTTCTGCTTACCAACAACGAACGACCCTTCACACCGCCATACCGAATGCCTGTCATGGATCGCTTAACTCTTTTAACTCCGCCCATGCTCCGACTAAGTACCCTTATCTGTGGATCCTGTAGATACTCTTCCCCCTGTCCCAACAATCAGCTAACCTCGTTTGCATGTTGTTTCTTCTGTCGTCCTTGCCCTCGCCCTCGCCATATTGATCACAAAGGCTGTTCCTGGTACCGTGCTTTCATCGCACGCCTTTTGGCTGCTACTACTAGATCTACCTTGTGGTTCATGACGCCTTCAATTATCTAGCGACGAATCGAGCTACCATGGACTTTTCTCAAGGGTTGGGCAGCCTCTTCGAGCAGGACAAGGCCGCGTTTGATTTCAACCTTGAATTCGAGCAACTGTTTTTCTCCATTCTTCCCTCTGCCATTTTCATCTTCTCATCGCTATGGCGCGTGCTCCATCAGACACGAAAACCAGTCATTGTGCATGCCCCAACAGTTCAATGGATCAAGTTGGTACGTTGCCTGTACCCATCGCTCGCTAAGTTATCTTTGGTCTCTAATTCCTATTCCAGGGTGCCATTGCGACATATGTTGTGCTAGAGCTTTTGCTCCTTGTCTTGTCTACTGTCGGCACCTTACACGTCACTCGTTTGTTTGTAGCTGCCTCGGCACTGAAGCTTGTGTCAGCATTGTTCATGATGGCACTTAGTGTCATTGATCATAGCAGAAGCCCGCGGCCATCTGTCTTGCTGAGCAGCTACTTATTTTTGACCCTCATCTTAGATGGCGCACAGGCTAGGACATTGTTCTTGTCCTCAGGCGATAGACCTGAGATTACATACAGCAGCATCTTCATTGCCACCATAGCCCTGAAACTAAGCATCTTCCTGTTGGAATCCCAGCAAAAGTCCAAATGGATCAGCTGGGACATGAGAGAGCATAGCCCAGAGGAGACGAGCGGTATATTCTCTCTCGGTGTTTACTTTTGGCTCAACAGGCTTTTCCTATCTGGCTATAGCAAAGTTTTGAAGGTGAAGGATCTCTATCCACTGGACAGCACGCTTGATGCCAAGCTGCTGCATGAAAGATTTTCTGCGAACATGGACTATGGTAAACTCAAGGGCGACAACTTTGGCCTGGTGAAAGTACTAATACGAACGCTGAATATCAACCTACTACTCCCAATCCCACCCCGTTTAGCAATGCTCGGCTTTACTATTGCTCAGCCTTTCTTCACTGAAGGCTTGCTGAAATACCTGTCTAAACCTGAAAGAGACCCCAATGTTGGGTACGGTTTCATCGGCGCTAGCATATTGATTTACGCCGGAATAGCAGTATCCGCGGCTCTGTGCTGGTGCGATATCAATGTTCATCCTCGAGCGGAATAAAGCACTGCTAACGTAGTGTCTCAGGTATTTTCATCGTCGGGCCCTTGCCATGACAAGATCCATGCTTATTACCGAGACCTACATCAAAGCTACCCAAGCTCGCCTTGACACGGGCGATGATAATACTGCGGTGACTTTAATGAGCACGGACATAGAGCGGATCAACATGGGATTCTTATCTCTGCATGAGACCTGGGCCAGCCTGATTCAGGCTGCGTTGGCTAGTTGGCTGCTGTACAATCAGCTCGGTGCTGCATTCGCTGCACCTATTGCAACTGTGACAATCTGTTTCTTCGGTCTCGCCATTCTTGTGAAGTTCACAGGGGATTCCCAGAGGTCCTGGATGGCAGGTAACCAGAAGCGCGTCGGCCTAACAACAACAGTTATTTCTAGCATGAAGAACCTCAAGATATCCGGTCTTTCCACCATCGTCGGCGATCATGTGCAGACACTTCGCGTATTGGAGCTGGCGGCAGGGGCTAGATACCGCAAGATTACCGTTATTGCGGCTGTGTTCGGCTATGTACCACTTTTGATCAGCCCACCACTCACATTCGCCTTTGCTCAGCGCACCCTGGATGTTCCAAGGATCTTCACAAGTCTCTCGTACCTTTTGCTTCTGACTAACCCCCTCTCCATGCTATTCCAGAATATCCCGCAGCTCGTGTCCGGATTGGCTTGTTTAGGCAGAATCCAAGCCTTCCTAGAGTGTGAAACTCGCCACGACTTTCGCAGTGTGGAAGCTGACCTGAAGCATCACTCAGAAAGGGCGCCAGCACAGCTTGAGCAGTCATCCAAAATGACAGAAAAAAGCTCACCTCTTGTGGTGATCAAAGACGGCGAGTTCGGCTGGAAGGCCAACAAGTTCGTCTTGCGCGGTGTAAATGCACAGATATCACAGTCATCGCTTACTGTAATTGTCGGACCCGTCGGGTCAGGAAAGTCTACTATGTGCAAGGCGTTACTGGGAGAGATTCCCTTCAGTAATGGCAGCGTAACCATGCGTACTAGATTTCCGCATGTGGGGTTCTGTGATCAAACCGCATTTCTCTCGAACGGGACTATCAGAGACAACATCGTAGGACACTCCCCCTTTAATGAACAACGATACGCAGAAGTAATCAAGGCGACGGCTCTCAGTTTTGACCTGGCGATGCTCCCTCAAAACGACATGACTAACGTCGGTTCCGACGGAATTACATTATCGGGGGGACAAAAGCAACGAGTCTCGCTTGCTCGGGCTCTCTATCTTCAATCGGACCTCCTGATCCTAGATGATATCTTTAGTGGCTTGGATGCGGATACAGAGGAGCAAGTTTTTCGTCAGGTTTTCGGTCCTGAGGGAATTCTCAGGCGACGAGGCACCACAGTTGCGTTGTGCACACATAGTATTAGGCATCTACCGGTGGCAGATCACATCATCGCAATTGGGGACGGAACAATCATTGAGCAAGGTACATTCAATGAATTGATGGCTCTTGACGGGTATATCCGCCGCTTGGGGCTTAGAGCTAGTTCCGAAAGCGATACTTCCTCGAAAGCAACCCCGTCAAAACAGCATGGCATGAAAGATACAGCAGTAGATAAGCCACGCTACGCGCCAGTGAACGTAGCATTGACGGAAGAGGACGAAGGAAACTCGCGCCAAACTGGTGATACAGCAGTATACAAACACTACTTCAAGAGCATGGGTGTTTTCCTTGCATTTTGCAGCTTCTTCTTTGCCACTCTTTGGGGTTTCTTTAGGAACTTTCCCACAGTCTGTGAGTCAAGCTTTTCTTTAGCTTCGGACAGGGGGATCAGGAGGGGCAGCTTTGAGATCTGGTTAGTCTTAGATTGGGGCTGTTAACTAACATATCTCCTTTTAGGGCTCACATACTGGACCAATGATGTATACTCAGAGCATCCAAATCATACCTATGCCTATTATGCTGGGATCTATGCTGTTCTTCAAGTCTCTGCGACGATTTCACTTCTATTACTCGGCATTTCTATTTTCATCATATCTGTGAGACGGGCAGGCGCAAATGTCCACCAAGACGCCTTGCGAACATTGATCCGAGCGCCTCTATCATTCTTTACAGTAACGGACACCGGTGTTGTTACGAATCTATTCTCACAAGATCTGAATCTCATTGACACTGAACTTCCAAATGCGCTCCTCAATACTCTGTTTTGTGTAAGCATATTCTCATCAACACATCCCTGTCATTACTACTCAACCTTCGCGGCTCGCGTGTGAGGCAATCCAAACATTGGATTGAAAATCGAACTAACTGGAACTTATTAGATCTTCCAAGCCATCGGCCAAGCTGCTGTTATGCTCACTTCATCCCCTTATCTAGCAATCAGTTATCCATTTATTGGCATACTGCTCTATGTCGTGCAGAAATTCTATTTGCGTACATCAAGACAGCTACGGTTACTAGATCTCGAATCAAAGAGTCCTCTCTAGTGGGTTCGGCCTTCTGTTGTCCCGGTAATGGATATACTAATCCACTTACTAGCACGCATTTCATCGACACTGTTAAGGGTATGGTAACTCTAAGAGCCTATGGTAAGTGAAGTGGTCAACTTGTGGCGATTCACCGCATTGGTTTGCGTTATATGATGTCCGCATAGTGCTAACATCCTTGGGTGAAAGGATTTGTTCCCGATGACGTACAGAAAAATGTGCGCTTGATAAACACTAGCCAACGGCCAGCATATCTCCTAGTTATGATTCAACAATGGCTCAACCTTGTTCTTGATCTCGTCGTGGCTGTTATTGCTGCTGTTCTGACTGCGCTTGCTGTCAGGCTTCCCTCTAACTCTGGTTTGACTGGCGCCTCTCTCGTCACCCTTATGAGTTTTGGAGATAGTCTTTCGGGCATTGTGATATACTTCACTAGGCTTGAGACATCAATCGGGGCAATCTTAAGACTGCAGAAGTTCAACGAAGCAGTAAAGCCCGAAGAGAAAAGTGATGAGGATCTTGAACCCCCTGAAGACTGGCCTCAAAAGGGGGTCATAGAAATGAAGCGTGTATCTGCATCTTATCAGTAAGAAACGCGCACATACACTAGTCTCATACAAGGCTGATTAATGCTAATGCCACTGATAGAACAGATAGGAAAGACAATGACAATGTTGATCTTGCCCTTCGCAATATAAATTTCACCGCCAACTCCGGCGAAAGGATTGCCATATGTGGCCGGACCGGAAGCGGGAAATCAAGCCTAATCGCACTGCTATTAAAGCTCCTCGACCCAATCCCGGAGGCAGAGAGCAGCGTGCTAATCGATGGCGCACCATTGAATCGAATCAGCAGACCGGTGCTCCGTCAGCGTATAATCGCTGTGCCCCAGGAGGCGGTCTTTTTACCCGATGGTTCCACATTCAAAGATAATCTCGATCCCACCGGCGTTGCCACACCAGCAGAGTGCGAGGCTGTGTTGGCGAAGGTAGACCTCCTGCAATTCGTGCAGGACAGGGGCGGTACAGATGCGCCTATGAGCGTCGCGACTTTCAGCGCTGGACAAAAACAACTTATGTCTCTCGGACGCGCACTCCTAAGGCGCCGTGGCCGGGCGAGGAATCTTCTCGGGCTCACAGGCAGTGGAGTGGAAGGAGGAATACTGCTACTAGATGAGGTGAGCTCGAATGTAGATCATGAGACCGAGCGAATCATGCAGGAGACGATAAGGACAGAGTTTAAGGGCTACACAGTGGTCGCGGTCAGCCATAGGCTAGATACGATCATGGACTTCGATAGAGTAGTTGTCATGGATAAGGGAGAGATTTTGGAGGTTGGCAACCCGGTGGCTCTGGCATCGCAGGCGGGTACAAGGTTCCATGAACTGATCCAAGCTTCTACGAAGTAGTGATAATGGTGTACCGGTGACGCTCTATATACGACAACGAACGCCATAATGGTGTCAGCCAGGAATTAACTTGTACTATAATAATAATAATATAATCGCGAGAGTCTTCCATGTTCATACTCCTTGGCCTCGACTTCTCATGTACCATTAATAGAGGCACACCATTCCTCTTAGTTTGTTGATTCTGGTGTTGAATATGACTAATGAACAGGAGCTTTCAACAGAAGCTAACAAACTCAGCACAGAGACTTAGCTATGTCGCAACTTTGATAGACTGATTGATATTGAGCAAACCTTCATTAACCATCATAGGATTCTATTAATACCCCTCTGAGGATGCGGAAGACCGAAGGGATTGATGACGTCTAACGTTGTGCTATGTCTATTATCTCCTCATGGATTTCTGACCCAACCCATTAATGTTGGAAGTTGTGTCTTCAGTTCAGTTATTATTTCCCACCACACCATCTCATTCACTCTTCTCCCCTCAGTACTCGTCAAATTAGGGGCTGCCAACCTTTATAAAGGTCAACGTTTAGGACCGTAGTACGTGGTGGAACCTTCATACATACCTACGATATTCCTCGTCCGTGAATAATGACTGTATATATTTACCCTATACATTTGAAATGTGAATCAGTACTCATGTGTGCCTAAATGGAGCAAATAGCAAGACGATTCTTACGTGCTCTTCTTGTGATGTGTTTGCGGCCGTGACGTAGAATCTTGCGCCGTAATCTGTCGACTTCGCCATGAGCCCCAGATACAAACAAGACAAGACCTGCATCAAGCGAGACGTTCCTGTGATCGAACGCCCCAAGTTGGTGCTCACTAGTCCAGGACAGACACTGTTCACAATGACATCTCCTCTAGCGGCGTGGGACCCAGGGTATGTTAGCTCATTTTTTCATTATGCCCGCGAAGGAGAGAGAAACAGCTCACTCTTGATCCTCTAGGTGTGCCGCTAATCTGCATATATTCTCCACAGCATAAGTCAGCATCAGCTTGCTGACAGCGTAGTTTGGCTCTAGCATGTGAGATGGCCATGCCCCTTTGTCACTGAAGTGCTCCAGTATACCTCCTTGTTCATGCCACCTCGGCCATTCAGTTATGTCAGGATCCAAGTGATCACGAGATGTGACGAAGACCAGATGTGGCGGGCATTTGGCGCCTTTCGCAGTATGCTTCATCCACCGCAGTAAGAGTAGTCCTAAGAGAGTGGTGCTGAGAGTGTTTACTTGGATCGTCTGCTCCCTGAGAAGGGGAGTTAGGAAGCCATGACACGCGATCAAAAAGAGAATGACACATCAAATGAGACATACCAGCCAGCCGAGCTCTTCGTGAATTCGACGTTGATAATGCCGGCGTTCAACACAGCTACGTCGAGACCTGTACGGCATATCTCACTGTGTTCTAAGCGCCGTATGAATGATACACACGAAGAGTACTGATCCATGTCAAGCTCCATAACATGTACTTTCCCCTCCCCGACGGCGTTGGCATGATGCTCCACATGGTTTATTACTGACTGGCTACGAGACAGGTCGCGCGAGGTCAAGATGACTCTTGCGCCGAGAGATGCGAAGTGAACTCCTGCCGCGAGACCTAGGCCAGATGTCGCTCCAGTCACTAGGACTGTTTTGCTCTTGAAGGTGGCAGAAGGAGGTAGAGGTTCCGGCCAGATCTTGTCGCGTAAACGGCGGTGAAAAGGGGCTGACATATTAGCTTGTTTCAATGAAACAGGTTAAATTGTAAGAATCAAAGTTGGACAAGACGGTACCTGACACCTTCGGGGAAAGCGGCGCAAGAGGAAAAGACCAGTACGTGAATACGATGTTTTTGCTACGGAGGATAGCTCTAAAAGGGTCTGGCCCTTTCTCACCCCTTCGCTTCAGGTGAAGATGTAGGTCCAAATGGGCTCGTGGATGGGTTCCGCTAAAATAGGAGTCCCACATCCTTCAGCCTCCAACTTATATTAAGAAACTCTCATTTATCAATCACTGCAGAGTGACATCAAAGAACACCACAAGCAAGAAGCCGGAACGCTGCTTCATGTTTCCGATGCAGTCAGCCAACGCGAAAAGGACCCATCCAGTCAATGCGCTGTCAGCCACGCCCAGCCCCCTACCCGTCAGCCAAACGTGCATTAGTCAAGGCAAAGTTCTTTAAGCGATCTCGGTTAGCCTTGAGCTCTTATCGCAACGCAGAGAATAGAACGAATGGCCATGGATGAACAGCTGTTGCTACTGAGCATGACTTATGGAACTTGAACACGGACGATTAGAAGTGTGGCATGGTCAAGTAGTGAAGGGAGTTATTCATTGAAATGGTCTATAGTCTTTCTAGGGAGTAAAATAAATCTGAAGCCATAAATTGTGAACTGGGAGATTAAACAATCTTGTTACGCCAAGTGTGTTCTGCACAGAACAAAAGAGTGTCGCTAACAGCGAAACAATTTGAATCGGCAATTTTGATTAGAAAACGTCATATCAAGTGAACCAAAACCGCCAACACCCTTCGTACTATTTACCATAACCATTATATTAGGCATTTCTGCAGGCACTGAGAATTAGCCGGAATGCTTGAGGATGGGGATACTTATGCCTCTGAGTTGTTCACTGTAACGCTCGCTGATGGCGCGGGTGAGTCTGTTCCTTACGTTAAATTCACAACGTATTGTAATATACTAAAGCCCACCATAACAAGATCCTACGAATGTGCTTTGTCGCTGGCATCTCTCGGCACCACCAACAAAGGGAGATGGGGGCTACTTCTTCCAAACCATCGATCTTTTGCTTAGTTTAGACGCTAGGTGCAATGGTGATAGCGGCGCGAAACAAAAACCTTCTCAGATTCACGATGCGACCGGCACCAAGCTTGAAGCTCTTGTTCGCCAGACACAAAGTTGCTTGGCGCATGAAAACAGATCGGAGACGGCTATAAAGATATTACTGGCTCCACGGGAAGGGTATTTGTGTCGAAGCGATGTCCTCAGCTTGAGAATGAGATACTCCGAATTCGTCGAAACAGTCGTGGGATTCTCCGCTTGGGACGAACACCTCCTCCCGTCCCCAACTCATATCCTTAGTGAGTTGCTGCTCCTCCCGCTACTCCTCTCCTCTCCTGGAGCGGTGATCGGGAAACGGTCGGGTATGTCTGCCTATGAAACTCTGGAGCAGCTACAGAAAGAGATAGAAATGCGCCTATCCTTCGATTGGGTTCTTCCCACGAAGCCGATAGCTCGAAAGGTAGCGATTGTAGGCGGCCGTGCTCTGGGTGACGAGGAATCGGGTCTATACAGCTCCCAGTCTTTCTTTGAAGCTGCACAAGCCCTTGGAATGTCCATAATAGTCTTCGAGAACGAGGGCCACTGGTTACAAAGTGACAAATACGGTTATCTCCGTGAGGAGTTCGTCCCTCTTGACATGTACAACTTGGCAGAACTTCCACGGCTCATGGCAGATGTCATTGAAAACAGAGGAGATATTGATGGCATCGCTACCTTCACTGACCAGTACGTTGAGGCAACGGCCCAAGCGGCTGAGATCATGAACCTTCCGACTGATCCATCGTGGGCAATGATTCAAGCCCACCGTAAGCATGAAATGCGCATGTTAGTCCATAACAATAATATCCAGGCGATACATATAGACAACACAGAACAGTTAGAGCACCCTGACCGAGCGCAAGAGCTCGAGGCTCTGCGTTTTCCCCTGGTCGTCAAACCTGGCCGGAGTTTAGGGTCCCGGGGAGTACAGAAAGTCACCAACAAAGCCGATCTCCATCACGCTGTGCGCGTGGTTCAAGATAGCGGGCTCGCTGCGCAGGGGATACTGATTGAGACATACGTCGATGGACCTGAGCTAGACGCAAACTTCGCACTTTGGGAAGGGGAAGTGGCCTTCGTCGAGGTGACGGACAATTTCCCGTGTCGAGGTGATGGTGTCGCTGGCGGATCAAACGAGTTCGGACCCGCGACTAACTTCGCCGAGACAGTTCTAGTGTCAAATACTGGCCTTCCTGCAGCCGAAGTCGATGTCATCCGCAAGTCTCTCCACGAGAGCCTGCTTAAGCTAGGATTCCGCTCTGGCGTGTTCCATGTGGAGGCGCGCATGCAGAATTCATCTGTACGTTATCGTGACGCCAGGGGCGATGGCATTCTCGACCTCGTCGCGTGTGATGACGGAGGTGTCGCTACGGGACAGCAGCCAGACGTGTTCCTCATCGAAGTAAATGCACGTACACCGGGGACAGGCGGCACGTGGTCGACCATTTTTACGTATGGTGTGGATCTGGGCGCGCTGTTGCTTCTGCGGGCGGTCAACGATGCCGAGCGCTTCGCAGCGCTATCGCAGCCTTTCGCATACCCACGATCCCACGGTGGCAGCGGTGGCGGCGCGCAATTCTGGAGCGCGCACTGCATGATCCCTATTCACCGCGACAACATTCGTGTGCCACACAGATTTTTCGACAAAGTGTACCGTGCAGCGCCTGAGATTATGTCCAGCGTAATGCGCGCCGAGATGTACGCAGAGCCGGGCACTGTAGTCTCACCGACGGGCGGCATTGGCTGGATCGGCTACGTGCTGGTTTACTCGCGAGCTAGTAGGAGGCATGTTTTAGAGATGTATAAACGCATTACAGAGGTTTCTATTCGGGTATTGGAGGACGTAACAGAGTTTTCCAGTGATTAAGGCATTGAGTTTGTTAATACTATTTCCATAGATAACGTTTACTATTTCCTAGCTATAATAACCTACCTAGGTACTTGACTAGTTAAATACACGTAGTAAAACATTCCCGTCGCAGGGTAGTGGAGACGGAGCGGCAGAACCTTATTACGGTGATCGTCTAATAAGACAATCTTCATAAGTACACATACCTAGCTAGGCTTAGGGGTTACAACTTAGACTCCTAGACCATTTGAATAGACCTCAACTAATCATCACTGAAGATAAAACTATCCCACTTCTATTACTGCATAAGACTATGGACTGCTAAGGCAATCCTCTCGCCCTCGGGCGTTAGGTTTATCTGAAGTGACACGGAAGACCTCCTTATCTTGTGACTATATTCCTGTGGCTAACAACATCTTGGCAAAATCATGTGTTTTTATGCTATTTTACATGACCGGCACCAGCACATCGTCAGTCTCCATCATTCCCGTCAACACCTGATTACCATTCTCCATCGTGTTGGGTGAGCGGGAGGCGTCAAATTTCGCGTCGTGCCACCCCTTGGCCGACCAAAGCTTCCCGTTGGTATCTCTCAGTCTCACGCTGTCGTTCACCCGGAGAAAGTAAGCAATGCTGTACCGGTCCTCCTGTTGTTTTCCCCCCACTGGTATTACCCTGTGCACCACCGACGCGAGTTTTCCTTCGGACAGGAACCGGAGGCTGTCTCCAACGTTGATCACGGCGTGGCCGACGCGCGGCTCCACGAACGCCCATTTCTCTGTCCCCGGAGAGAGGATCTGTAGGCCCCACTGCTGGCATAGCAGAAAGGTCAGCGTCCCGATGTCCGTGTGCTTGTTGTGTCCTACGCTTTCTATCGGCGTGTCTTCGTGCTTCGGGTACCTCAAGAGCGCTAAGTTGCTGTGTGTTGGACTCGTGTCCGCTTGGTACGTGCCAAAGCGCTCGTGTCCTTCAAGCCCCATTACGTCGGACAACCTCTCGAGCAGTAGCATAAGCGTATCATGGGCTGTGGATATATATCGGAAGAAGAACTCCGACTTGGTCTTGATCGAAGTGGTGAGCTCAGCGTCCCCATTGAGGTACTCCCGCCTTGAGATCTAGATGAAGTTACATCAGCTACTGTCAATCCCTCTTGCGTGGGTGGCCAGATTGATTCGCCTACTTTGAGGAATTCGTATCCATCCACTGTGCCTGGTTGGGGTCCGACCTCGTGTCCTTTGGCTCCGTACCTGATCAAGTAAGTAAGTGATCTTCTCACAGGCTGCCTTTTCCCCTTTTATTTCTTCCCGCCTATCTGGTCAGCTTACCCTGTATTATCACTTCCACGAGCGTCTTCCATCTTAATTTCTATTGGTTGTTCAAAATATTCTTTTGCCACTGCTAGCATCTCTTCCCAGAGGCAGCAGATAGCTGGATTACTTGTCAAATCTAAGTAGAAGAATCCGTAAGTGCGACAAGCCTCAAACAACTTTTTGCTCTCTTCGCTGTCTCCTCCCCGCAGGAGATCAAGATGAAGCGTAGGCAAGGTGGTTGACAAGACAGGCTCCCCATTAGCGGACATTTTGACATGAAAAGACTCGGGTGGTACTTCAAGAAATGGATATCTTTCGATGTTTCGCACAGTTGATCTCATAGTTTTGATATCAAACTTTTCTACCCTATATAGCCCAGTGTTTACATGTTTCATCATTGATTTATATCATGAGACTTGATGCTGAGCTCACTAACACGTCTTAATGAAGATTCTTGAACGCCTGAGTGTATTAACGGCTCCGTCGAAGAACGGTGTCATGACTCTCCCCGGCTAGATAGCCGCAGTCGGATCCTCTCCTAATCCGTTTCGTATCGCGTGCCCCGCCGCGCCCATGTGCAAGTGCCTATTTGCTTTTGCCTACTGGAAATTGTGAGATAACCTACTTATGATCACAGCACCCTTGTGGTATCGGGCAAAGTTTTGTTCCGACGAAGGATATAAGCTGTTTCGGAGATGGCGATTAGATTCCACATGCTGTACTAAAATAAAACCATGTTAAATGCGTGCAGTATCAGCCATTCTTCATCCTTTTCAAGCCATGCACTGTCAGCCAATATTAGTGGCATGTTGCGCAGCAGGGATGTAATGTAAGCAATGGCCAAAAAGCCGGGGAAGACAAGTCAATCTGACAGCTCCATCGGCAGCCCTCACGGTTTTCTCGTCAGCCAATGTATGGCTATTCAAGGTAACCTTCGACAATGTATGCTGACTTTCACAAGGGTCATGTTGCTGTGCCCTATCCAGAAACATCGCTATATCTGGACTGTAAATGTACAAGCCCAAAAGTAATACGCTCCGATGATCACCGCCGATATTATTAGAATACGATTAAGAGTGCGATGCAATGCCAGAGTGTTCGCTACGTTGCCCCTGTGCATCTATTAAACTGTACTCATATGTTCAGCTCAGCAAGTTGGCAAGCGAATAGCAGCATGTGTACATACTTGTCACTTCTCCCTTGAAATGCAAGAAATGAAGAGAAATAATGAAACACATCGCCTCAATGGCACAGTCGTGGATCTTTTCGATCGGTGTGCTGCAAAAACTCCTGATAGGATCGCTGCAGAATGGTTAGGAGAAACTCTTACGTACGCGGAGCTCCGAACCGCCTCGCTGCAGGTTAGTCGAGCCCTACTCGCAGCCGGGGTTCGCCCTCGTACTCGTGTCCCAGTTTTGACACAGATGTCGCTTGAGATGCTACCCGCTGTCATCGGTATCTTACGGGTCGGCGCATGTTATGCGCCTATGGATGTAGCCGCGTGGAGCCAGTCGAGAATTACAGCAGCATTGTCAGAGCTCTCTCCATCCGTGGCCTTGGTTACCAGCGATTGTCCGGAACATCGGTTACCCGCAATCACAATACGCTTTCAGAAGGAATGGCTCAAGTCACAGCCCGAGGATACAGATGAATTATGTACCAAGCTGGATGTTATCCGAGACCAACTCCGTGCAGATGATCTCGCATGGATAATCTTCACTTCAGGGACGACGGGCAAGCCGAAAGGAGTTATGGCACTTCATAGAGGTATCTACGCAGTCTGTCTCGTGGAGCCAATTGATAATCTCGACGCCTTGGTGGATTCCGGGCTTCGGTGTCTGCTTGCATATTCAATTGCCTTTGATGGGTGTGCTGCAACCATCTGGACAACTCTGACAAAAGGAGGTACCTTAGTTCTGGCCTCACCATCCGATTTCCCTCACGTGGCAACTACCTGCGACCTTCTCAATTTGACCCCTTCCATGCTAGCAGCACTTGACACAAGAGGCTCATACGACCGCGTCAAGTATATTTTCTTGGGCGCTGAAGCACCGAGCCTTGAGGTCGCGCGTTCATGGATCAGACTTGGTAAAAGAGTCTTCACGACATATGGTCCTTCAGAGACGACGTGTGTCATCAGTTTTGGTGAACTCAACGACCATGATGAACCTCCATTCGGTGATCTTATACCCGGAGTGAGGGTTGTTCTTGTGGATGACACGCTACATGAGTGTGATCATGGGGAGGTCATGATTTCTGGTCCCGGTCTGGCTGCGGGCTATCTCAATAACCCCGATTTAACAGCCCAAAAATTCATTGAATGGAATGGGGAGCGATTTTACAGAACCGGAGACCTCGCTCGCAGGACCAACTCAGGGGAGCTCGTATGGGCTGGTCGGGCAGACTCTCTTGTGAAGAATCGGGGCTTCCTCATCAATCTTGAGACGGAAGTGCAAGCCGCACTGCTCGCGTTTCCTCCAGTCCGTCTAGCCGTCGCATTCAAATGGCGAGATAGACTTGTTGGGTGTGTACAGCCATCTACCGTCGATGTGGAAGACCTAAGGGAGTTTCTCAAACCAAAATTCGACCCCTTCGTTATCCCTGATCTCCTTCTAGCTATGAACAGTTTTCCTCTCAACGTGAATGGTAAGACTGATCGACATGCTTTTGCAGCTCAACTGGAAAACAGCATAGAACAGGAGAATGAGGATATCCTTTTGGAAGCAGATTGTATTACCCCTTACGATGCATTACGTATGGCCTTTTCTAGGTGCTTACACACCCCCTTTAAGAAGCTTGATGCACACTCATCGTTCACCAGCCTGGGCGGGAATTCTCTAACTGCAATAAAACTTTCCAATTGTCTCAAAGACTATAATTTCTCAATCGCTGTAGCACAGATACTTAGGCTGGATACTATAAACGCACTGCAAGACAGCCTTGTGAGCACAGCAAGCTCCGGCGTGTCGGATTTGGAGGATTCAGGGGCGGTAATAGCAACAGACACTCAAAGACAACTACTCACAAGATCGTTAAAGGACCCTATAGTCTACGCTCTAATCAGCATCAACCTGTTTTCTGGCAGTGCAAAGGCCGTCCCTACGGCCAGCGAGCTCCACCAAGCTTGCATCAAGGCTCTTTCGGCACACAGCATCTTTCGAATACGCTTTGACCTCACTACCTTCGAGATATCCGACCTTGGTCGACTCAACTTGGACTGGCGAGAAGTCATTGTGGAAGAAGACGGCTTCGAGGATGCATGTGCAGCGGCCGAAAAGAAGGCCTGGTCGGACGCCGAGAGGGTGTCCCGCGCGGAGATTGAGGTGCCATACTCCCATGTTACATGTGTCTATGTCCCGTATCGTAAGAGGCTGGCATTCATCACACGCCTACATCATGTTCTGACCGATGTATTCTCATCTGCCATTCTATCGCGCGATGTGGAACGCGCGCTGGCTGGTGAGGAAGTGCCCCCAGGCCCACGGTTCGAAGACTTCGCAAGATTCTGGCAGATGCACAAGCAAAAGAATCTAGCAAGAGCCATTGACACATTCGAACGCATGATGGCACCACTGCCCGCCACAGCAGTGCTCCGAGTTCCCAGTCCTCGAAATCCACCTCCCGATACCCAGCAACAACTGCGCTTTGATCTAGTCCGAATAAGTAGTCGTCTGGCCGTTGGAAAGTCGGCAATCGACGACGCGGCGCGCAGATATCGCGTCACCACAAGCACGCTCGTTTACGCATCCTGGGCCCTGTTTCTCAGCAAGATCACGGGCTGGGACCGCGTGGCCTTCTCTATTAGCATGTCAGGCCGCACGGTACCGTGGCCAGAGGCGCAGTTCGTCGTTGGCGCATTACTGGGCCGGATGCTTTTCAGTACGGCTGTGCCGCGCGACGCGACGACGGTGCACGCATGGCTGACTGAAGAGGTTCACAAGAAGACACTCGATGTCATCGAGTTTGAGGGCATGACGAATTGCCTCCCAGACACTCTAGTGCGTGATCCGCGTGCCAACACAACCAACGTGCTATGCTTCCTTGATGTCCCCCAACCTTCGTCAGACTGGACCGTCACAGACAAGCAGCGCCACAACTACCTGCTAGACTGGTACATATTTCAAGACGGGGACGCTGTAACGGCAGAGTTCGAGTTCCCTTCACGACGTGTCGATGCGGACTGGGCTAAGGAAGTAGCGGGGATACCTGCGCGCATACTGGAGGGGTTAGTCAATGCTGGGGGCAATACACTTGTGAAGGAATTGTTACTTTGAAGAGCAAATATTGGATTTTTATAGTATGCTGACAGGATTGACATAATGATAGCTAAGCTGCATCCTGTTTTACATTTCATAGATCTAAACCCATTGATTTCTTTTCACATCAGTCCAACAAGTTTGTATTCGGAGGCTCACCGTGACCGTACCTAGCAGCACTTGGCACTACCTGTCAGGGGTTAAAGTGCCAATACGCTAGTCCAGATCATCGTAGGGCCGAATAGGATAGTAAAGATAGCCCTACATTAGGCTACTTGGGGCTCAAGGTCATGTTTTACTCTATCCGTATTGTAGGTTGTCGGAATAGTACCTTCTCACGCTACGCCAGCCCTTCATTTCTGACACGTATCGCAGTATGTCAGCAGTGAATCTCGTAATTCCACTGCTTAGGTCTAAATCAGACTTCAAATCATGCTTATGACTTTTAATTCTTAGGTCTACCTATGCTCGGCCCGTTGATCCTGAAATATTAGGGGATAACGAAGATTAAGGCATAAAGTGGTAAAGTAGCAAGAGCTTGGAGGGGACACTGCGAATGAGGATGATTTGCACAACATTCCGTTTTGGCTTTCAATGTCCACCAAGCTCGGTCGAGTCTCCCCCATTTCAAGAATTTATGCTAGTTTGTATGTAAAGATAGCTACCTTTTCTCGACTTCTTGGGTCCGTAACATATCTTACTCTAGCCAGTCTCAGGTCGAAATCCTCGACAATTGGTCAGAACGTGCGGCATTTCAGTGTGCACAAAGCCAAACAAGACGGCGCACGCGACTCATTGGTGCAACATGAAGTGAGGGGGTTTCACGCTACCACTCCCTTGATTTAAATTATCTAAAGTGCACCCAGGGATCGCACAAAATCAGCATAATATATAGGCTTACGAGGTGCCTGCATCTTTCCCATACTCCTTAGACAAGTTCCATTTCTACGTACAGAGCTTATTCACTCATGTTGCGGATTACATCACATCAAAATACGTGAAATGGAGTTACAGTATCAAGGTGAAGCATGGTACGGCGAATGGCCAGACTTAGAATTTCACCATACGACGGCTATCTTCAAAAAGGACTCAGAGTTCTACTACGGTAGCTACAATCGACGCGAGTCAGACAGTATCGACTCAACCCAGCTTGAACTGACCAAAATCCCTGATGAGTACATCTATGCCGCTGCACCACCCGATTTCCTACTCGCGCCAGACCCGCTACCATCAAATATCTATATCAAGACACCAGTCCTCCTCGATTACGAAGACGACCCCTCGCCCTCGTACATTCACTCTCTCACTTTATCGGAGATTCGTGTATGTGAGATCTTGCGACACCATCCGCATCCGAATATTGCTCAGTACTTGGGCTGCCTAGAGGGGGACAACAGAATACGTGGAATCTGCTATGTTAAATACAAGATGACTCTTGCGGATTATCTTAGAGAAGGGAATCCAATTGACGTGGATCACTTCCTAGCCGGAATCGAGAAGGCCGTTTCTCACTTACACTCCTTGAAACTAGTCCACGGCGATCTCGGCCCTATGAACATCATGCTCAACGACAATAACGAGCCTATTCTTATTGACTTCGACTCCTGCCGGCTCGAGGGAGAGGAGCTGATCAAGGGAGGCACACCTAAATGGTCAGATTACGATGCAAAGGTCGCCTCTTTTGCTAATGACGAGTATTCTCTTGAAAAGATCCGTAAACACCTATTGGAGTATACATCTGGTAGCCCAGACAGTTTGTGAATTGAAACAAGGCATACCATTTTATACCTTTTGTATTACTAGCAGAAGAAGGAAGTAGTAGGGAGACAGATGATTCAAGAGAGTATGAGCAGGTGTGATACATGGAGAAGGGAAAGTGTCGAGGCAGGGGAGGAAAAGGTGATTGTCTTTTGTAAGTTTAATGAACCCGAGAAGATCATCATGAACACCCAGGGCCTCGCGTCATTTATATTTCACTAAATTGGGCAATCATTTAAGTCAATAACAATGCAGTTTCGTCAACATATGAAATCAAGAGGTAGACATGTCCCATAGTTCTTGAGGCAAGTAGTCACGATCTTGGGATTACATACTGATTCACTCGCTGTATGTAGCCCGAGCTTCAAAGAATTTCGCGCAGCAATGGGCACTATAATTACAGTATGCCGAAGGGTTCGGTTCTTACACAATGCCTCCTATATCACTACAATAAAGATCCAGGACAGCATATATGCAACAAATAAAGCCATTTCTGAATTTACCTTCAGATCTGTCTGCAAGAAGGGTGAATAGAACCTTACGCAACAGTAGAAGTCATTAGCGTATCATATGCTGCGATCTTAACAGTATAGAATTGCAATTACTATTTCACACAACGGTTTGAAGCTTTTATTCCCAGGCCTTGGCTACGTACAGCAATTCTCTTGATCTGTTATGTTAAGAGCTTGATACCTTCTTGACTAGTTGAGTTTTTATTCTATACTATATGTGAAGGCATCGACGATAACCGAAACTCCAGTGCGACAAACGCTGATCACTACGTCTATTTGTCACTAAAGCCCGTGGACTAGAGTATTCGAGTATTAGATTTGCGTCATTCAAATGGAAGAGTCAATTGGCATTTCGCGAAGTATAAGAAAGATTCATCACGAACGGGGATTTAACGATTACAAGGGGCAAATTGAAGTGAATCAATAACCGACTAACTAATCAGTTCCTTTGTTGGCGGAGTGAGGAGGTACCTAAACTGGTACTCTACCTAATAGCTGCCTAATCTAGCAGCATAATGAATAGCCACTCCCTTAGCTTATGTCATCCCGGGCAGTCTTACCCAGCTCTATAAAGTCACCAATCAACAGTATGACGTTGCCGACAGGAAATTAGCGCGCATCACCGTTTCACTTTCTTGCTCACAGAGGCAACAATTTCACGTAGAGAATGCTTCGAGCCCCGCAGAGGTGTTATCTCGGAGGAACTACTGGGCGAAGTAATCTGGGTGTGAAGCTGGGATTGGCTCTGAGATTGACTGTCGGGTCGTTGCTCAGACTGACTCTGAGACTGGCTCTGGGACTGGCTTTGAGTTTGGGTCGGGGACTTATCACCCGTTGATCCGGCACTACTTGGGTCAGACGCGGAGAGAAACCGCGAGGAACTAAGGCTCGATCCAATTCCGCTATCATCGAGCATATCCGTCATAGTAGCCCAGGTCTCCATCGGCGGATCGCCCGGCTCAGGACTCCCGTAGTCTTTGTAATGGTAGTGTAGATTCACATTCTGCCCGAATATTACTGCTCCTGTGCCCTTCAGATCGACTTGCGCTTTCTTCTTGAGAGTTCTTTTGAGTTTCAGCGGAAATAGCACTTGCACGGGGTCGTGGTGGCTTTTCGTCGCGTCCTTGGTGCACGGACACGGGTTGAAGGTTGCTGCTTTCATGTGCCAGATGATATTGTCGCATAATCGTCGTGGGTTTGAAGCCGCGTCGCCGTCTTCCTCCATGATCTCGAGAAGATTTGATACACAGGCCGCGAGATAGTACCTGTCTCTCGGTAGTAGTGACCAGCGGCTGCAGATGCTTGGGCTCAGACTCGTCTGCCGTGGCTGGATCAGTTCGCCGAACCCGGTTCCGAATAACGTCACGGCATGTATGGCTCGAGTGAAGTCCACCCAGCCCTTCCCGAGCGTCGACAGCGTGGCAACTCGAGGAAAGATAGGATCACCGTCCTTGACTAGATCTTTGAAGTCCCAGCCTTCTAAGTGCTGGCGTGGTCTAACCTTGATTTGCAAACCGCTGCGCCGTTCTGCATCCGTTTGATGGTCAATGAGCTTCTCCAAAATACTGTAGATGTGCTCAATCCTATCTTCCAGACGGTAGTGTCTAGTCTGACGCCTCGAGCTATTGTTTGTTATTGCCCCTTCCCTGATGTTCTCCTCGTAGACCTCCGTTCTGTCCATGTACAAGGTCAAATTCCGATTGTCCTCGTTGATAAGGACTTGGAGGGAAGCATCGGGCCACGTGAGATCTGGAGGGTCTTTCAAGGCATCAGGCTCTAGGAGCCATGCTGATTGGAACTTGCGCTTGCTATGCGCTAGGGACGCACGAAGGATATGAAGAAGGGCACTGGCTCCGTTCACTAGCCATCCTCTCTTGTCGCCTTCATCCCATAGAATCATGTGCTTGGAGGATATCCATTGAAGTTTGGTAAGAAAGCCAAACCGGGTGATATGCACAGGCTTCTCTCTGTTTCCAAGAGTAAAAGCTGCTGTGCCTGTGACGAACTGCCCTGCTGATATCTCAACCTTTTCTAACATGTGATGAGAGTGTGTTTTAGGTAGGCGTGATCTTCCGATATCGTATTTGGCTAGAGTCGTCCCTATGCAAGGCCAAGTTGTTAGCGCTCTAATAATTATGTCTATGAAAGAGTTGTAAGCCTACCAACGATAGATGTGGCGTCGGCGCACCACCCTAGCACGTGGCGAGATTTTCCGATATCTTTCTTGGTGATAACAGCCGGCTCAAAGTCAGATAATAGGTAGGAAATACGTTCGGAGGGCTTTCGGCTATGGAAGAGATGCCATACTATCAGGTCCTTAGACTTCTTAGCTGGTACCAGCATGGTATTGTAGCCTTTAATGAACATGGTCGGACCGAAGGTATCGAGATACTTGGTTCCCGTCAAAGCAACCATGAGCTCAAGGGGCATCTCCAAGCCAGTATCTGATTCTTCTCGCTGTAGAATGGGAAAGCCTCCAGCAATGACAGGTTCTGAGAAAAGATTGCTCCAGCACTGGCCATTTAATCGCTTTTTATCAGAATCCCAACGTTCTTGACTGTATCTTATATTGAATCCCACAGCGGCTGGCGTATCGCTTCTAGTAGCCACCCTTCTTTCCAAGTATGGGATATGTCGAGTTATCCTGCCGTTGCCTAATGATAGGGTCGCGCCCAGCCATGCCAGTTGTTCTCCTATTTCCGCTATGAAATAGGAAAGCCCGGATGCTGTCACAACAACAGAAGATCCAACGCCAATCGATGCCTCTAGAGTCAAGCGACAAGGGGCCTTGACTGTAATATGTGAGTTTGTGAAGTATTTCGAGAGTCTTCTGATCTCAAAACGAATAACTCACAGTACAGCTTTTTCTTTCTTCCAGCCGTCTTCAACGCTTCCTGAATCACTCTTAGCGTCTGCATTCCCGTCAACGGCCACATCTGTGCCATATACTGCCGACAGGTTAGAGCCTGAGCATGGGTACTGGTCCCTGTTATTGTAACGCAGTTCTCAATGGCCTCAGGGTGAGGGATATCATAGTTTTGTTCGTAGAGAAAGTCCATGATGTCCCAGTCTACAGTGAATGTCACCTGAACTTCTTCAGGAGACCTCTTTCGGCTAACTTGCCTGGTTTGCGGGAATTTGGACTGAATTTCACTCATCATCTGATCTATAATGTCGTACCGTGCTGTTGAAAGTATGAGATCTCGGCGTAGTCGGGCGAGCATCCATATATAGCTAGGATCCTCGACAAGAATCTTTTTATACTCTTCTAATTCGAGCACGACTGGTTTGGGCACCTCGAGCCAGCCTTCTTGATTTACACCTTCAGAGGTATCCACGTGCGGCACATGTTCGAACCCTTCAAATTTCGACTCATCCCTGGACGCTAGCCAGCGGTTCATTATTTCTGTGGGTTTTGGTTCTTGGAGAGGGTTCATGTCGGATGTATGTAAATCGTCAGGGTCGTGGCAATGGCCCTTAAATGACCTTACGATCGCCCTAGTGCCGCAAATGTTAACTAGGTGATTTTCTAACATTCTACGGTACATCAATAGCCTTAGATATCAAGACGAAATTTTTGTCTTTGAATAATATCAAGTGAGGGCAAATCAACTCCGACAATGATTTCAACTTTCAAATAAGTTTTACTTACTCTCTTTGTTTGTGGATAAATACCATAAGGTCCCGTTGCACTTGGCTTTGGTTTTGGTAGCCAATAGTCAACGCCAACGCCTTTAATAGCGTGGGAAGGGAATCGGATATTCTCTTGATCATTTCGACGCTCAGTTGTTTGCCGCCTATCTTTTCAAACAGATCGTCTGCAAACATGTTAATGTAACTTTCAGTTCGTACATCAGAATCACCTGAAAATTCCGTATACACCGTTTGTATATCGTCATCATAATCACCATCGTCACCCTCAATCTCCAAGTCAATCCGATCGACTTGCACCCGACTGCCATGTGATACCGTCGCGTATCCTGAATCCGATGGTGATGGATCAACCCCAGCACGGCGCACGTGCATGTTAGCGTTACTCGGCGCTACCAGGTCCGAATTGGGTTTTGTAACAAGAGGGATAGAAAGGGTCGCATCACTCTTAACTGGAAAGAGGCTCTCTCGAGTCAAGGTAGTCGATCCTGCGTCGCCTTGACTTGTCTGAAAGTCAACGTAAGTTGGATATGCATCAGCGAATTCCCGGAAATCCCCTTTGAGCAAGCAGAGGTGGCCACTAAAACCCTGATCTTGGAATTCCTTTATCGCGTTCAACGCGTGGCTGTTATGTGTATCGTCGCCTCTTACGTCGTTGTATATGATTAGATGTTTTACCTTAGCCCATGTACCGAATTTAGCCTCGTCCTTTTTGCTCTCCGGGACATACTGCAGCTTGTACGGCTCAAGAGGACCTCGTTTTAACCGCGTCAGATGTATGCACAAGTTGATCGCGCCACGAATATGTGATTTGGTATACAGCTCCTTCGTACGGAGATCCAAAAGTAATAAGTCGCTCTCGGGGGTGTCTTGCATCAATTGTCCGAGTTCGCTAGGCAGCAAGTGATCTGGACCATCTGGTACTGTTGCTTGCAGAACAATGCTTGGGCGCGGCTGGTCTTGAATATATCCTAGGCATTTCCTTCCCGAAAGAACACATCCACTACATTCTGGTCTCTGTAGGTCGCATATTATTCTTCTCTGCCTAGTAACCAGGAGTCAACATTGATTAGTGAACGAAACGAACTCGTTCCCGCATAGGATACAAAGAAGTTGGAATATAACTTACCTGCACGTCAGACACTGTAAAGTAGATTGTTGTCGTAGTCTTGGAGCATACTGGCATTCTTGTTTCGAGCGAACACATTCCGCGCATGCTGGTCTCCCTCCATCGCACTTGAGCTGTCTCAGTCTGGGATCGGAAACTTCAATTCAGTATTGGATACAACGAAATAATATCCCAAAAATATTTAGAGTTTGTGTGATTACTTACACGCAATGAATGCAGTAATTTTCCTCCAAATGGCGATCTCGAACTTGTCTGGCGCTTTCCGATAGATCTTTAGGCACCAATGCTTGAGGGTACTGCTTTCGAACCTTTCCCCAAAAGGCCAGCATAATGTGGAGATTGGTATCCCGAGTCGCGTCCGTGGAGATGAGATACTTAAAGATATCTGGTATTCCTGCCTTAGAATTCGCAGGGATTGGTTTCGTGGTATTGGGACTGGCGGGCCTGGGAGGGTTCGACTCTACCATGTAGTACAATCTTCTAAGATCGCGCACGGTAAATCCGTGGGATATCGGCACATCTAACATTAAGTCCTGTTTACGTAACTCATGATTTATAGAAACAATAACTCTTTCGCCAATGGTGAAGGGAATGAAAAGGTTGTCAGGTAGATCTGGTGTGGCTGTTCCCGTCGATTTAACGACTAGGTCTAGTGCTTTCGTGAGAATTGTATCCAAAATGGTCTTTGTCTCTGTTGATAGAAAGCTGGAAATGGCTGAGAGATAGAGCGAAGATTCTGATTGTTCGGTCTCTGCTATCGCATGGTGCTCGTTGGTAACAACAAGCTTGCCTTGAGAAGTTTGTCGTTTATTCCGTTCACCCCGGTAGTCCTCTGAAAATGTGTATAGTAATTAGCGTCTCGCCGAATTGCAAAGTAGGTAGCGCGAAGTAGTCCGGAATCACGTACGAGACCTTTGTGAGCGAATTGTACTTTGGTTCGCAATGGCTGAGTAGCCAGAGTCATGGGTAGAGGAGCTGTCCTTTGGCGGCATCTTGGCGGCCGGAAGTATGGGAGAATAGGTGTCCTTCAGTATGGCGTACCGACATGAGTAGGATTACTGAGACTTGTAAGTCTTTCGAGCATGTTTTGTGTCGTAGGTAATGTGTATCGCGCTACCTTATCCCAAGAAGATTAGTTACGAAACATGAAGTCGTATATCTCGGCAAGAGAATAAAAGCTTCGCTATATGAAATAAGGAATTGCCGAATACTGATTTTGGGGGCTACAACGGGTTCCTTAAGTGGATAGATAGCTCAATATCATCCTTACCTTCAGCCTGACCCTCTTCTTGGGGTTATGACCTTTAGGTGTCTTGGTTGCCGATCAAAGGGCTGTGCATTTGTTGATATTGTAGACTTAATGAGGGGTGAGTCAGAAACTATCGGAGGTAAATCGGGTGCAGTTTACACAGCCACTTTCATGGCTGAAGGTCAGGCGCTCTCGGAGACCGGTAACGAGGCAGACAAGGCGTATTGCAGGGTCGCGACCATTGTAGCTGAAAAGGATGAAGACGGATTCGGTAGCATTGCGCCTGGCACGCCACCTAGATAATTTGTCGTGAAGTTCAATAGATGCATAAAGAGCAACTGGACGAAGGAGATGTCATTTGAAGATCACAAGAGCCATCTAGATATAGTCGATTCTGAAACTATATGTGATTGACTTACGAGTAGCAGCTCTCGGTATCAGTACCGACTTTCTACACGGTGGTCATGGCATCAAGGCAGATAAACAGTACATCCCAGCGTAATCAACTTCAGGCTACCTGACGGCCCCAGCATCCTTAAGCGCAGAGATAGCATCAGCGTCAAGTCCAAGCAGGCCACTCAGAACCTCGTCCGTATGCTGTCCCAGCGTCGGCGGCGCGGTCCGTACGCCTGGGCTGCTATCGCTGTATTTGACAGGGGTGTTGACCACCTTGATCGGCCCGCACTCGCCATGCTCCAGCTCAACCACCATGCCCCGCGCACGCGTGTGCTCGTGGTTGAGCGTGTCCTGGACGTCGTTCACCGCGGCGTACGGCATGCCCTTGCCCTCGAACACATCGAGCCACCCCTGCGTAGTCTTGAGCACGCTGATCTTCTCGATTTCCGCCTCCAGCTCGTCGCGGTTCGCGACCCGCTGCGAGTTCACGCTGTACTTTGCATCTGTCTTCCATTCAGGCCGTCCTAGCCCGTCGCATAAGATGCCGAAGAGCCTGTCGTTGCCCCCGCCAAAGAGGACATCGCCGTCTTTTGTCTTGAACGACTTGTATGGCACGATAGATGCTGCGAACATGATTTCGTTAAGACTGCTTCAATAGGGTTGTAGAATCTAGACTACTTGCGAAGGCAACTTACGATGTGCCGTGCCCCATCGCCCCGTATCCCGTTTGCCACTTATTAGACAGCTGCTCGCAATGTTGGCGAGTGTCGCGGTTTGGCAGTCGCTTAGAGCCACGTCAATATGCTGACCACGCCCGGTCTTTGCCCGTGCTAGTAATGCCGCCATGATGCTGTTACTCGTATACAAGCCAGTCGTCAGATCCGTCACAGCGACACCTACTTTGACTGGCGGTCCGTCGCGGCTCCCCGTGATGTGCATCAGGCCGAACTCGGCTTCTACCATGACGTCGTAGCCGGCGCGCTGTGCGTACGGTCCCGTCTGTCCGTACCCAGTAATGGAGGCGTAGATGAGAGATGGATTGATCTTGTGAATTGTCTCAAAATCCATGCCGTACTTCTTTAGACTCCCCGGGAGATAGTTCTCGACGAGGATATCGCATTTTGCCGCTAGCTTGTGCAATACTTCGACGCCTTCTGGATGCTGGAATGAGAGGCCGAGAGACTTCTTGTTGCGATTGACCTATGGCATTGTGAGATATACATGCGTTTCCATACGGTATACACATACATCGCTGTCGCGGTTTATATAGACTTACACCTAGAAAATACGCAGACTCGCCGGGACCCTCATGGTCGGATCCTGCTCGGTATGGGGCGTAGGGCGGCCCCCAGGCACGCGTGTCATCACCACGGGTAGGGTGCTCAATCTTGATAACTTCTGCACTTCAAAACGATCAGAGTTAACACTATTTGGTCATTGACCAACGTATATATGTTGGCGATATACATGCCCTAAGTCGCCCAGGATCTGAGTACAATAAGGCTAGTGAGAAGCATCAGCTCGGCTCCTCGCAGCAATTGAATAGTAGACTTGACGTACACCTGCGAGGACCCTCGTCATATCAAGGACCCGATATCCCGCCAACGGGAGCGTCGCATCTGCTGCCGCCGACGACTGGTGGCGGATGAGGAACGATAAGACATCGTTTCTCCTTGCCGAGAGTCGGGGCGTCCGGCCGACTCGGCACAACGCTCGGCTTATCGGTAACATGGCCAACCCGCACGCAACACACCCACATACGCTCAATACTCTAGAATCGGGCCAAAAGCAACGAATCTACGGTCAGGCAATCCCTTGTCTACGGCGCCTTCACGTCAAGTACCTCGGCGGTGATTGTCGTGGGTGATGTTGAGAGCGAGAGAAGACGTTGAACTAGAGATAATTAGCGCTAAGTATCTGTAAGGAGGAGGCACGGTAACTAATCGCAACGGACTCCACAGAACTCCAGCCCTACGACCTTGAAGTAGAGCCGGAACGGGACCGGAGTGGTTGACGGCTGTGTATTTCCGAATAGCAACCCAAGCTTCGGTGCATCGCCGAATTTCTTCAAGAAGCCGGCATACTGTGGTGGCTTTGCTTGTTTCAAAACACGATTGGCCCCCAAGTTGGTGGCGTAGCCAGTTCGTGTTTCAAAACATCCGCTGCACTGCGGCCACGAGGCGTAAATGAAGGTTAATACTGTTTTACGTATGCATGCTAATCGACGGTGAGGCGGATTATCAATCAAGAAAGAGAAATGAACAACTACTAAAGGCATTTTGAAATGCAAAAATGTAGACTTCCTCACCTGGCCGTACAGTACTAGTAATGTTGGCCGACAATTGAAACTCGGCAGTGTGTATCCAGACCAACATTCATCATGACAGGGCCGACTGTCTTGGCTTGTAGCCCGGTATTTCGGTATCCTATACAGCCAGACAGTGATTGGTTTCGTTAATAGTGTTTACACTAGACTACTATACTATACATTACGCCTCTCTTACACAGCATTGCCACTTTCAATGAACGGACCGGGCCGTGCGGCTGGTCTACTGCCCGGGAGATAATTATAATTCTTCCACGCGCAAACCTAAAATATAACACCTCCGGCGCCCGATTGAGTTGGCCAAGACACTAGGTACTCGGTGCGCTGCTCTGATCTGATCTGATCCGATCTGATCTTCTGTGAATGGGCTATTTTACAACCGAGCAGATAGAATAGTGGGTAATTAAATCGTAGAAGAGGCATGGGTCTTGATGAGCTGGGGGCAGAAGGGACCAAGTGTGACGACGTCGTCAAGCCGGGGAGGATGCGCGGCCCTTCGACTAGCAATCAAGGCATCAAAAGGTCAGCATGGCTTGGATTTCCCTTATGCCAACATGTTTATGGCAGTAGAAGCAACACCACTGCGAGTTATAGTAACATTGAACATAATAATGTCTTATCTATCGCCAGCTGTACACAGCCACCCTCAACCAAAACAGGGATGAAGGGACGAAAGGCATAGGCCCTTCGATTCTCGCGGGGTAGGGGAAGCAAGGCGAGTTGAGTGGTGGCCAGGTCCCGAAGGCAGGCAATGCCTTGCTTCTTGTCTCCCCCACAGCCACTCCCTACCCCAAACCCGCTAGACCAATGCCGGGGACCGTCGGTCCAAGAATAGCACGAAAGCCATGACATTGTTACCCAACGTGCATGGCGGCGTTACTCAAGATTTCCCTGCGTGCGATATATTGCGCCGCCGGCAGCAGCAGAAGGGCGAAGGCATTGGAAGGGCACATTGGCACCATGGTACACTGCCATCGAATCATGGAGCGGCTATCGACTATCGATGATGTAGTTGATTCATATAGAATGAACCTTTCCCCGCCTAGCTGTCGTCCGTCCCTGGCGATGCCCATCTCTCAACAGCCTCATATCTGACAATTGATATTGAAGAGTTCCCGGAAATGGGCCGCCTTCCTACATATTTTCGGCGCGATGATGCCGTCAGTCATCCAACTACCGAGTCTACTCCCAAGTCGAGCGAAATCACAACCGAGAACACGATACCTGTTGACCCATGGATGATCGTGGTCATCGTGGCCGGTATCCTGATCGTCGTAACGCTCGCCATCGTCATGTGCATGCACTTTTTCAAGTCACGGCGGGCACGAAAAACAACCGGTTTCCAACCGGTCAAAGAAGAAGAAAAGAACTCGACATACCCACCCAAGCGCAGATCGGGTAGGGCCGACCGACAGACGCTCGAGGATCAGGAGCGCGACCTCATGATTCGCAAATCACTCGCCAGCCGAAGCTCATTAGCGGCCAGCGACCCCATCTCTCAGATACCATCCCCCGAGGAGCAGCAGCACAGCGGGGACTACCATCCTGAGGTAGTGTCACCCGAAGAGCCCAGCAGAAGAGAGTACCATCTCGCGCATCCACTGGGAGACGAGAGCGAGAGGACGAGTTTGCGGGAGGACTGGAAGGCGTGGGAGGCGCGTGTGCAGACGGAGAGGAGAAGCTCGAATCCGGGAGGTGTCGGGCACGACCAACATCCGGCGTTTGCATCGTATCTCTCCGTGCCGCAACCTACGCGCATGGCGTCGCCTGTTCGTGGCGGTCCCAGCGTCTATCGTCACATCTAGACCTTTTCTCCTCGGCTGGGAAATACTTACTCGTTCGTCATTATGGGTAGATGTCGAGAAGCAATTATTGATTTGGGGGCCGACTCGACTACTACCTACCTGCATACATACTTACCTACAACAACACCCCGCCTCTGTCCCAGTGCAAGCGATGTAGCATCGCTGGGGCTCAGCAGTAGTAGCAGCAGCAGCAGCAGCAGCAGCAACAACAGCTGACGGCGGGCGGAGCACAGAGACCAAGTTGCTTTCATGCTTGGGAAGAAGATGATGGATCCGAAATATTGTTTTGTTCGGCACCTACTTACCTACTATGTCCATTGTGTTCGTGGCCAAGAGCCAGCCGTACGTGCATATATTCATGGCACCATAATACTAGATGCTTCACTCTCAAAAAAGCCTTGTCTTTGGTTAGCGCACTAGACAAGAAATCAATAACAAAGAGTATAAGGACATTTGTTTTCTCCTCCAGATAATGAAATTGGAGGATTTAAGGTGTTAGGCGCGGAACTGTAATTGCCATGAAAAGTGAAGAGTAGAAGAGAAGAACTTGGAACCTTGAAATTTACAGTATTATTAAGTAGATTTACCACCTGTACGTACCCATCTAGCTGGTACCTACCTCAGTAAAAAAAGGAAGCGCTAAAATTAGTGCACACTCACCTGCTCCACAGCGCCTATATACAGCCTGCAACACCGACTCTACAGTGCATTTACAGTGATATTATCATAGTAAAGGCCTGAACCAAGTCATCTAACAGGCCCATTACTTGCCAGTAATTACAAGCCAGTACAAGCCAGTACTTAGCAGTCTTGAGGCTGTAGCCCAGCTGCTTAGTCACACCCCCCCCCCCCCCCAAAGACAGGCAGTCACAGGCTACCTGCTGACCTGTTGCTGACTCTGAAGCCAGCCTCAGCATCTCCTCCCTCCCTCCCCTTCACAATCCTCCTTGTTTCATATCAGCCCTTCGGTCGGTATTTTCAACCCACGGCTGCACAACTCCCGCCCGTCGAAGCCATCTGTCTCTCTCTTTCTCTCTCTCGGACCGGCTCTTTCATCTCTTGTCTGTGTGCGCTTTTCTCTCCGTCCCGCGCACTGCGTCGCCATCCTCCTCCACTTCTCGCCGCCGCCCTCGTCATCTTGAGCATGGCTGCTACCACCTCGTACTCGGATGCTTTCATCGCCGCCCAGCAGAGTGCGAGCGACAACGCCGCCACCGACGCTGCCCAGAATGGCCTGAAGGAGGAGCAATGGCAGCAGAATCTGAACGAGATCTTGCAGTGTCCCGACTGTCGCGAGTTCCCCCCGAACCTGATCGAAGAATTCTCCTCGGGCGACATGGTCTGTGCCTCGTGCGGCCTCGTCCTCGGCGATCGCATCATCGACACCCGCTCCGAATGGCGCACCTTCGCTAACGACGACCAAAACAACGACGATCCCAGCCGTGTCGGTGACTCGGTCAATCCTCTTCTGAACGGCTCTCAACTCGAGACCAACATCGCTTTCGAGGGCAGAGATGCGAGAGAGCTACAGCGTCTTCAGAGTAAGGCCGCCAAGAAGAACGACAAGGACAGTAAGCAGAGCAATACCGCTCTCCTCGCCGCCTACCGCGAGATCTCCAACTTCTGCGATGCTATGAACATTTCCAAGACCACCCAGGATGCTGCCAAGCACATCTTCAAGATGACCGACGATGCCAAGTACTTCAAGGGGAAGTCCTCCGAGGTCATCATTGCCGGGTGCATCTTCATCGCCTGCCGTCAGTCCAATGCGCCGAGAACCTTCCGTGAGATATTCGCCCTGACCAAGGTCCCCAAGAAGGAGATTGGAAGAACCTTCAAGATGTTGGAGAAGTTCCTCCAGGATGACAAGAACAAGACCTTTGTCCGTCCCATCAACGACGGCGGTGCGCCTCCAACCCTCAGTGCTACCAACGCCACCGAGCTTTGCGCGAGATACTGCAGCGGCCTCCGCTTCAGGAATAACCATCTCATGGCGAGAATATCGTCCGAGTTGTGTGAGAAGAGTTCCTCGGTTAAGGATTTGGCCGGTCGTTCGCCCTTATCCGTCGCCGCCGCTTGTATCTACATGATCTCCCATCTCATGGGCGAAGGCAAGAGTTCAAAACAGATCGCGGGTGTCGCTGGTGTCAGCGACGGTACCATCAAGACTGCCTACCGCTTCTTATATCAGGCTCGAGATTCCTTAATAGATGAGGAGTGGCTCACCAAAGGTGGGCGTCTTGATCGACTGCCTGTCAACTAGGAGTTGAAACCATCGAACAAGATCTCACAGATGGGACGCGGGGCAAATAAGGGACAAGGAGTTGTAGAGAGACGTTCAAGCGACAAGGTCAAACTCGAAGACTATGGTTGGTAGCCCACAGTTTATCTTGCGCCTTGAAAAACGCCACATTATGATATCTGGTTTATGCGATCACTTTCCATGGGCTTTTGCCTATCATCTCGGTTTACACAGCATGTGCTTGACACCACGACTGTCTCGAGATTTCGTAGGAGAGCACAAAGCACGACATACTCGCCGCAGGGTGATTCCACAGGCCGCTTGCGCTTTGTTTCTCCATCTTTTGGCCTGCGACCTTCTACAAGCTTGCCCAGGCTCACTTTAATATATCTTGAACTCTTGAAAAATAGAGTATCAACTCACTTGCGCATCCTTTTGTCACTATTGGGAGGCCATGATAGCATGGATGCGCGCCGATAGCCCCTTAGCCGAGACTTACTGCCATACGTCGTAAGTCATTCACTACAAATGGTCAACGGAACTATTATACCCAGGCAGTGTCTTCTTAGTGTCTTTGGGGCGTGGCATATACACGACAAGGGAACTTTGGGGATAAAGAGCATGGATGTTGATATAATGACGGCAGCGCGAGGTGAGGCTCAACTTGCTGGGATTGGGGCTCTGGATGTGTATTATACGATCGCACGCGTCTACGATCATGCAATGCATTTCTCTCTTCACGCTGCCGTCTGTTCATCTGTCTCTACTTGCCCCCCTGTTCTAGTCTTTCCAAGGTGAATCCCCCCTTTCCCTGTTCCTCGAGCCCGTGACGAAACGAAACCCATTACTACTACCTAACAAGATTCTCTCAGCTCATGGACCTGGAGACGCCATTTCCCTATTTGGCCCGTCCATGATGAAATGATTAGAACTAGAATGTTATACCATTACTATAATTAACTGATTTTAGGCCGAAAAATCAAAATATAATTTACAACATTGATTGCGATTGATTGTATCCTGATGAATAGTGTCTCTGATCTGTTGCTCTTAGTCCACCCTGTTTCCCAAGTTTTCTATATGAATTCATCTTCGATTTGTAACCTTGAGCATAGTTGTAAGGATGTGATTATGTAGCCCCTGCGTCAGTGTACTCATATCAACAACCCTGCACAGCAGCCAAGGACTCGTAAAACAGGTAGGTAGGTAGCATATCCTATTGAAGGACATGCAATTAACCTACTTACTATTCTCACCAATCAAACCCTCACCCACTTCACTCGATGCTCTCACTCACCCTGATTCTCATTCTCAGTCTCCATCTCACCCACACTTTTGTCACAGTCCTCACTCACGTAAGCCCATGACAACACTCGGATTCAACCCCCACAATTTTATATCGAGTTGCCTGATCATTGACTGACCGCCTCTTTACTTCTCTTGAGCGCTCTCATTCATTTCGTTCCTTCTTCTTCTCGATGCCCCTTTTGCATGAATTGTAACACTATCGCAAAGCAGTAATGTCCTCATTCCACCTCTTCCCCAATCTCCCCACCGAGCTCCGCCTCGAGATATGGAGGGCGTACTTCGCCATCTGCCACGGCACGCAAATCCACATCTTCCTCTCCACGCCCGACGGCCCGAGGTACGTCAACCAGGACGCTGCCACGGGCGCCGAGGGCCACGATACCCTTGCCGGAGCGAGGATATGCGCCGACGCGTGGGATGTGTTCCAGGAGCGCTTCTATGTGGGCGATATGCGCTGCTTGCAGCCTGGTGGTGGACGCACTGCTACTATCTCCACTTCTACTATTCCTATAAATAGTACTGCTACTATTAATGCTGCAGAAGAAGAGGAGAAGCGTCGGCGGTATACTACCCGCTTCGCCGTCAGCAGTCAAGACATGATGTACATCATCGACACAAAAGTCAGCCCCATCCTGATCGCGCTGAGCAGCGCGCCGTGGTTCCGCCGCGCCCCGCGCATCGCCATCCAAGTCTTCAACTTCCACACCCCCACGCCCAACCCGGACTTCCTCCCGGACCCGCGGCCCTACCCGCATAACCTCGACTACTGGGGGCGCAACTGGGTCCTCTGGAACCGTCTGCTCTCGGCTCTCCCGGGGAACGTGCGGGAACTGATGATGAACGAAGAGCTTGAGCAGCTCCTGTTCGTGGTGGTCCCGAATAAAGAGATTCACCGCACCAAGTATCTACGACCGAATTGCTATGGTTTTCAGGTCGTGGATCCGGAATCGTTTGCGCTCGGGAGCGCGGACGAGACGAATGCTGTTAATGGCCATGCGGGACTCATGTATGCGAGGGTCCATAGGGCGTTTGAGAGGGACGTGGGCGTCGAGAGGAAGATTGGGTATGTTGCTGATGCGGTGCTTGCGAGGGCTGGGTTTAGCTGTCTTGATGAGACGCTCGGGAGTAATTATTAGGGCGATCGGGTGTTGGGGGGTGAGGTGCGTGTGTGCGCTTGGTGCGAATACGCTGGCTGGCTGGTCAGGGTTTCTGACGAAGGCACTACAGTTTTCGACTGTGTTCCGTCTCGATTCAATGAAGTGCTTCGGCAAAAGGCATAACAGAGGTTTTAAGTTCAGAGGTTCAAGATTGAATTCGGCAGAGATAATAAGTACAACATGCACACTAACATAAATATGAATGGGAGCAACACGGAGCTCTACTCGGTGCCTAGTTCACTGAAAAGTACTCATTATATTCCTACTCCATTCTCGCATGGCTATTTCCTGTATGAAACGCCATGCCTATCGATGGTATTCTAGGGTACGCTGCTCCCATTAACAAAGTGTTATTCAACATAAAAGTCAAGGCAACTCTCATTTATTTGCGAGTTGCTGTCAGACCACCAGTACTACTGGATCGCACACTTCCCGCCTTCATCGTAAGCCGAGGAAAGCGTGTCGGGTATTGTGATTGTGAAGTCAGCTGTGGCGGTGATTGGCTAGTGAGCGTTATATAATGATATAAAGCTAATTAAAATAGCGAGACGCGATGGAATCAAGAGGCGGAGAGAAGAAATATGTAGAAGAAAGTCCTAGGGATGGGAAGATGAGACGTGATACTTGCTATCATTTCTAGGCGGTCCCGACTTTGAGTCTGGCCAGGCGCTCCATTCGACGAGGGTAACCGATTACAGTGTTCGAAGCTAGGTCGATAACTGAGACATTCTTAGATAGGGAATACATTTAGTAGCCTGAAGTACTCATCATGGATATGAACAGTGTCACATTATTATAACATGTTTGAAAAATAACTTAGAGCCCACCCTGGGTGATGACCTGCGACGAGGTCAATATAGAATGTGATAACATCGCCAACAGTGACGGTGTGAACATTGTCGACGTTATCTTCATATTGATATCCCCGACATGAGTAGGCATTGCAGTTATATGCCGCGTCGGCTGATTTGACGGCGTCCCCAATAGGGCCCGCGAGATCTAACCGCGATGCAAGCTTAGGTTTTCAATTGCCAATAGTGTAGATAATGGCTGGCCTTACTCACCTCGTTCAAGTACCGACGTGACCAACTCCCCGCAGAGCTCAACTTGCTTGTCACCTGTCTACTGCAACTCATCAGCTTGATGTTGAGATTTGGTACTTCAGTAGAGCGGAAACTCATCGTACACCTCTTAGAACAGGCGCTGTCATTACTGCGTAGCCCTGAACGCTGATGAAAGAGGCTAAGGATAATAGACTGGTGAAAGTGCTCCTCATTTCGATCGTGGCGCCCGGAGGACAAAGCGACATCAAGACGAAGCACGCACGCAAATGAAAAACCTCAAAGGTCAAAGCATCAAAGCAGAATATAGTTTTATACTTGCAAAATCAATATGAGCTATCTTCTGTATGAATCCTTTCGAGGAACATTCAACAGTCCCGTCGCTAAAAAAGGTAAAATGTACCTCGAGTTGACATTATTTCCCTGGCACGGATTGTTTCACATGCTCGTTCTGTATAACTATCGCCACCTTCTCACCTTCTCTTTGGTCTGTTTTCACGGTGTTCTGATGTACCTTAACTGTCGTATACGCCCTTCTGCGCCCTTAATAACCTGAAGAGCGATAAAATGACAATGGCATACTAAGATCGACTCCTATTACGCCATATTGCGGAACACGATCTTACCATGAAAGCATGGGCTTATCATGGTACATGTTTCCTTCCTGCTTCAGCTGTTCACTTGCCTTGAATGCCATACACTTGATTCCAGTAGATACCTAGTGCTTTTCTCCTGAATCAAGCCAGAGTTTTGGATCAGGTGCCACGGGGCTTCGAAAAGGGTCTTTGCTCATCCACATCCCGGCGTGTCTCAGCCACAATCCACCAGCCACTGGAGAGAGAGTAAGTACTTATGTACCTACCTACATATGTACCTGTAGTCGGCCGCGCACAACTCTGTCGCCATATCCAAATCCAATCCAAGTGACCAAACTCGCATCCTCATCTTCGATCCTCGTCGTCTTAGTCGCGTGAACCCAACCAGAAGCTCAACCAATCCCAAGCCTAGGTCAATTACGATATTATACTTCTACTATGTCGCATGATACGGTATGGGCAAGTCGCCCCCACACCTATGGCAAGGGTTCGCGCCAATGGTATGGACCATGGAATTCCTATCTCCGAAAGCTGCTCGGCCAAGAGGACTAATCTCCATGTCTTTCCCCAGTCGCATCTGCACCCACCGCGCCGGCCTGATCCGCAAGTATGGCTTGGACATGTGCCGCCAATGCTTCCGCGAGCAAGCAAACCGCATTGGATTCGTCAAGGTCAGCTCATTTTTACCTCCTCTACTATCCTGTCACCATACCTATCTGACATGCGTAGTATCGCTGATTCCGCACTCGTCATCATTCCTGTTCCGTCTGTCATTCAAAGAGATACGCGCAATATCAGTGGAGTCAGGGGGGCTTCTCGAAAAGAAGGATGGACGAACAACCAATGGTACAACCAATGGCCATAGGGCTGGGCTAGTGTGCTGCCACTGAGAGTTCATGGCCGATTTTGACAGTTTTTGGACTTGCTCGCGCTAACCTGTGTCTCTCTACCATTGCTTGACTTAACTCAGGATGAAGAAATCCGGAAAGATGTTCACGACTACGAACCCCATAATACTGCGGCGAGGCACCAAGGTTAGCGAAGTAGACGCTATATTCACATTAAGACCAATTTGTACAGTAGGGACTGATATGCTGATTTTCGGACCTGTGTGTATGCCCCGATATCGCCTCTGCAAGCAAATACAACTTGGGTTTTCAGTCAATCCATATTGAAAAAATGCTATGATTACGAATGGTAACAACGATAATGCTCAACATCCACAGCCACACCCCTTTCCGTTGAAGTTGTATGTGTGTGCAGATATTTACAGTATAATCATCCACTGGGTGTTGAACGCGGCAAGTTGACACGACATCGCGCGACATGAAAGTAGACAACATCACAACACGATTCACATGCTAAGGCAGGGTCAAACACGACAGGCCTCCGCGGATATCCTAGAAACAAGCATTCCCGTTCATATGCACCGCTCGTCGGTATATAATTTCGTCCATAACTCTCCGTATATTGTTAACTCCGATATTTCTCACTCTGATCTTTGCCGACTTGTAGTATTATCGGTGATGATCTGTTAGTCTAGGTGGAGGAGAGTGGCACAGTGGACTAAAAATACAAGATGGACTGGAGAATCGTATTAATAGGCTGCAGGTGTGTACTTTCGCGCCGTCCAGAGCGCATGCTAGTGTGACACAACGGCGGAATATGAGCGCCAGACTTGAAGAGTGCGTACATGCGAGTCGAGACATCATATCCGGCTAGTATGGATGAGGTGGTGGTCCCCAGCGTATCTCTAACCTGCAAGCAACGGATTATAGGGAACTCGGCAATGATGAGCTGAGAATCATTCCATCTTCCCGTGCTTTCAGCATGAGGCCAAGCAGCGGTACAAGACATACACTGATATCGGAATTTGCCTCAAGAATACAGGGAGATGGATGATGTGTCTACTCTGGCCTCGTGGGCGCTGGAGACAAAATCATCTAAAGCCACGGGTAACGAATGGGATAGTTTGTGAATATCGGCGGAGGCTTCCACACATCTGTGTCGACATTGCGCGGCAACGGTTCGAAGTCTGACTTATATCCCTGATCGATGAGTCCTTTTATGACGTCCCTCTCAACCTGCGGTGTGTGAAAAAGCGCGACCCTCGCGTTGAGCTCCGTAGACAGCACCTCGGCCACCAAGAGGGTTGTCTCCAGTTCCCTTATCTTAGAGCTAAGGAAATAGGGCGGCTTGCTTCCTCCAGCAATACCCTGCATGCGTGGCGGACTTTTGCCCACGCCTTTAAATCTGTCCCAGCCGGGCCCGTCTTCGAATTGTCGCAAGGCTTTGACGAGTTTGAAAAGCCTCTGCCGTTGGAACGCGAGTTCACTTCTCTGCCGCTTACCATTGATGGAATCCATATCAACTATGATGTTAAGCAGCTCACGTTGCAGCTCCTTGACTTGTGGCTCTCGTATTGTGCTGTTGTATTTGCTGGTGGTATGGATGGCGCGGGCCATGAGCGACATGGTCTGCAAGTCCAACAACCAGATCCGTGCCATCTTAGTTTCGCGAACGACTTTATCGGCTGTACTGACGAGAGCCAACGCTCTTCGGGTAGGTGTGCCTACATACAAACGTTGAATGTACTGTTCTTGGCGTCGACGGCTTCCCTTCTTCCAAGGGTAGAAATCCGCTTGTTCCCCCATCATGGAGCGAACACGGCCGCATATGTTGTGCACATGGTTTCGAAGAGCCTCCTCGATGGTCACCAGCCCCCGATGCATCATTTTGAGAACCGAGTCACGCTCTCACTGTTGTTGGCGATTCCCTCCGACTTTGGGGTCCTTGTCATTGACGGATGTGCTGATGAATTTTTAATGTTCCAAGACGGGATAGCAGGGTCTGCTGAGTGCCAAGGAATATGCTAAGCCACACATGGCTGGGGTACCTGGGGTGCCTCTACTGTAGGTAGGTACCTAGGTAGGTACTTACCTAGCCGGGCCTCATTGCCCAGGTGCGTGGGGGTCATCAGTTGGGGGGGGGGGGGGGGGGGGGGGGGGCCCGACCACACAGGAACCACAAACCCAACACAAGAAAAGTAAAAATATAAAAGAAAACAAACCAAACCAACCACCAGACCCAAAAA